CTTGGTTGGCAGTCAAAATTAACAACAATATAAGGCTGTCATAAGTCAAGGAAAGGACATTGATCAGTACTTTGCCCAAATCAAAGGCACATGGCTGCAGAACCATTCAAATAAAAGACACAACTCAAGAAAAAGGACCTTATTGTTGGAGATTGTCCCCATTCTGATTCCCTTGGATTACTTCAAATAAAAAAGAATTGTCAATGCAGACTGTATTGCAATGGTTTTCCTCCATGAAGAACAACATGGTAGCACACTGGTTTATAAATCTTAAATAACATGCAATTTTAATGATGATAACATTGAAGAAAACCACTGGTTTATAAATCTCTGGACAAGAAATTTATTTGTAGCAATTTTGTCTTGTGTTAGCATGCTATACATTGTTGGAGTGCTGAAACAACCTGGAATTTCAGATCCTATGTTTTACCAATGGTGCTCAAATATATCCATGATGAGAATGCATGGGAGTCTTCCTTGAGAGGGAGAGAACCCAAAACAAAGTTCTAAACTTTAGTAGTTGCTGCTCCATCTCTATGAACATATGGGCTGTTTATATATGTGGCTTGTTATAAGGATTAACTTTATGATTTCAACATCTCTCTGTATTTAAAGGGCTGTGTATAGTTCTACCTCTTTTCAGGTACATGGCCCATTAGTTCAACAGCTTTAATAACCCACAGTCTACTTTAATCATAATCTATTTTTATTTTTTCTTAACCTAGATCTAAAAAGGAGGCTAGTGATGGCTGCATATAGGGTTAAAAACCTAAAACAACATGTTTCAGAAAAAAAAAAATAACAGAAAAATAAGAGAAGAAGAAAAGGGAAGAAACAAGGATAACGTAGAGATTGTTCTTAATCATTCAAACAGTGTTCTCACTTCAAGTTAGATTAGGTTTACAATAAATTCTTACTGTGATCACTTAGAGAGATTTTGGAGATTATGCACAGTGACGTAATATTTGTATCCTGGTTATTCTCTTGTGATTGTTGCTTGAGTTTTATATAGGGGACTTTGAGATTTATATATTCATTATTCTTATAGTAAATTTTCTCTAGCTTGTCATATGATTTTTACCCTTCACACATTGGAGGGATTTTCTACGTAAATCTTGGTATCATATTTGATTGTGATTTTCGTTTAATGACATTGTATTTGTTCATATACAAAATTCTCTTTTTATCCCAACATTCACAAATATTATTTATATTTCTGTATCTTATTATCATTGTTATTTTACGAGTTTAGATGTGCATAATATTTAGATGGATGGGTGAATTATTAGAAAAACATAAAATACTTTTGATGAACCACTACGTATAGTTGCATAGCTAAAGATCAATATAGTTGAGATTCTAAATGAATTTTTGTTGGAGTATTTTCGATGTCAGTGTACAACTGATGATGTTAAGCCGAGGCACAATCCCAAGGTTAAGCTGACATGTAATGAATGCTGTTATTAAGTGAAGAGTTGGATTGATGCTCCACAACCATCCTGTCCAATTCCATGAGGACCAAAATTGACTCCTTTCCTACTCTTTTACCGAATGATTGAGTTCATCAACCCATAACCAAACGTTCATTCAGATGCAACATCAAGACCTCCTCCTTCATTTGATCTGTGGACAACGCCGAAGAAGAAGAAGAAAGACAATGAACAAGGCAAGTTCTATCCATGAATTATGTGATTTAACTGTCTCATATGAGATTTATCCACTTTTGTAGACAGATCTTACTGTGAAATAATTTTAGCGTGGTTTAAAGTTATTTTGAACATTTATCCACATATGAGAATGACACATATTTAATTTATTTTATAACACATTGGATATAATTATAAGATTATTCGTTTGCCCCTATTATAAGTACCACCTACGCGCCCACCTGTGTCCTATGCGAGAGCATGTCATCACGTCGCTCGTCATTGTATTTGCATACTGCCACATGACACTTTCTTATTAGTTGAGATTATAAAAAATTATAAGAAAAATGAAGAGGAAGAAATAAGTGTTGGGTCCAACGCATATGTGGGCTTGGATAATTTGGGCTATAAGCCCAAATCAGTAATTAAAAGAGAAAGATATGAGATAGGACAGTAATACGAGAGAAAGATGCGAGCGTTTGTGCAGCGACGTGCGTGCAACGAGAGAACAACAGCGCACAACGAGAGGAAATAACATAGAGAGAAACCCATTTTGATACACAAAGAGGAAAAAGAATTATTTCGCTTTAAGAAGTTTTTCCCAACAAGAAAAGAGAAAAAAAATTTCTCATTTTCTTGGTGTGAAACTTTTTCAGATTCTTAGTAATCGTTTTTGGAGATGAATTATCTCGGTTGTATATTGAGCGACTCTTACGTGATATTCAATAGGAGATGAATTATCTCGGTTGTATATTGAGCGACTCTTACGTGATATTCAATAATACGCTTACGATAGTACTTGCATGCTTCTGGATTCCTCTTCTAAATTTTCTACTTCAATTTCTACACGTTTAACGTGTTTTGATTTAAATTTCTCCTCCGATTAAAACTAAACAGGGTGCTACTCCAAAAAATGAAAAGGGGTCAAACCTAGAAGGGGAAGACATCTAGACCTTCAGTTGAGTTGAGGGCTAAAGAGTCTGAAAGTTATTTGGTATCTGAATGCTATAAATCATCCAAATGCTCTGAAGTGCTTTGAAAGCATGAACGAAGCGAATGAAAGGGGTCCACTAATTATAGTTCTACTAGTTAATCGACTTGTCATCTGATAGTTTGACTGACTGGCGATGTTGCGACACTACTAGATTTTTTGAATCATTAATAATTCAATAAATCCTCATGTGGACATCTTAAGAAAGGCGATGTGGGTGTTCGACATGAGACCATTATTATGAAATTTCAAGAACCAAATCCGACGAATCATTAAAACAATGTGCCCATTAGAGTTTGGGACAAAAATGATATGTGCGTGCTAAGTGAGACCAACTTTTCAAGATCTGAAACAACATAGCGACATGATGGCTCGAGGTCAAACTGATCCTTGGAACAATTTCAAGCCGACTATTCCAGAACTGCATGCAGTCAAGTCAACCAAAAGTGCACTTCGACAACGCACAACTGAGTTGGCCAAAAGCAATACTTCAATGATGCACAGCCAAATCGACCAAAAGCTCACTTCGACAAAACGTAGTTAGATTGGCCGATAATGTGTAAATGTGCATCTCTTGACAACTTGTATAACTTGCTTTAGAGTCGATAGGTTAACCTAAAGTCACTTCTCGACTAGATCTCATTGCACTTGGCAAGTCGAGAAGTAAGAGGGGGCAATTGATATAGGAATCAAGACATGACTATCACTTCGACACCATGTGGCTAACACCTTAGTGCCACGTGACTGACGTTTCAGCATCACATCCCCAACACTCACCCGACACGTCAGGGTCATATGGCTGACAAATGTTCAAAACCTCAGGAATGACACATTAGCATCATGCGACCGAGTTGGTGGGACTATTATCGCAATTCAGATTCAACACAGTACGATCATGATCGAACCCAAAAGAAACACACAATTACTCACCATAACTGATATCGATCATGGGAGTAATAGTCCTAAGAGCCTATTGTAAAAGAACCAACTCCCTTGCTGTGTTTCCCGAATAATTTGAAATACTACTTTGATTCTTCATCCAAATCCTCAGAACCCTAGACTAACTTAAACCTCATAGGAACATTTATTGAGAATACTCCCGATATAGTTTTATAGGATTTGACAATCTCAAAATCGAACGGACAAGCCATTGGATCTCGGCTCCGAAACAAAATTCATCTCAAAATTAAGCTATAATATTACTATTTGATTTTATTTTTTTCCATGATTATGCCATAGCAAAACAAAATTATCAGTCAAGAATTGCAAACCCCAAATTTAGAGGAAACGAATTTGTAGTGACTCCAGTGATTAGCTACAGGAGATTATGAACTTAATTATCAAAAGGAGGAAAAATAGAAAGAAAAAGAAGGAAGGATCGATCCACTCGACAGATCTCCAAAAGTTCTTCATTTGAAAGGTTCTGAGGTAGGCTAAGATGGATCCTCTCTAACTCCTGCGGATTCCATCATCGTCATCCATCCCTTAACCAGAATTCATTAATGGGGATTCTCCTAACTCTTAAGATGCCCTGAGAAACCAAAAGAAAAGTAAAAGGAGACAGCACTTTGGTCAAACCTCAAAATAAGGGGCCTTTTTGTGTGAATTCAACTCTACAGAATGCATGCCAATGGGCTCCAACCGGATCATGCGGCACAAGGCACTTCGTCGTTGATTATTGTTAGGGGCTACGAGTGCCTCTATGTATTGGATCCCACGATCACATATCGGATCTCTCGACTGAGCACTCTGCTGCTGCCATGAGAGAGCTGTATGCCATCACCATCTCATCTTTTTGCTTCCAGAGAACGGCAGGAGGATGAATCGAGATCTGCACTTTTGTCCCCCTCAAAAAAAAAAAGGATGACCGGCCAGTAGATTACTCGAGCAGGTTGGATTCAGTCCTTTATTTCCACCATTTCCAATGCAATTTTTATGTTCCGAGAGTGTAGATGGATTGATCGGGATCTACATCGGTAAACGACTGCCGGGAAGCTTCTTGGAGTCAGTCAGTCAGTCCAAGTTCCAACCAGCAGTCTGCATGTGAGCTGCTGACCTTGCGGCGATGAATCTTTCCTCAGCTGATGGTTTCGACTCTTCTTCATGAAGTCAAACCTATCGCTTGGATATCAGTTGCACTTTGGCGAAATAATAATGATTTTTTTTCTCCTTTTAGTTATGGCGATTGCACTGTAGTGCTTGAGATCCATCTCTTAGATCAAAGCTTCACCCACGTTGCATGACTTCTTCTTCTTCTTCTGTCATGATACTTTAATGCTTGAACTACTACTGCTGCCTACGAACATAAAGTAGATAACAAGCGAAGAGAGAGAGAGAGAGAGAGCAGATGCAGAGCTGGGTGATGACAGTTCTACTTCACCCGTCCCCAGGAGACACGATGCACGCATGGGGTGCATGGCTAATGGCGCCTCCTCCATCACCCAGCAACGCGCAAACGCGTCGCGGGCGGCGCTGTGGACCCCGGCCTGCACCTGCTTCCGGCTTAAATCCCGCCCTGCACCGCCAGCCATGGCTTTGCCGAGCCCTCCTCATCCTTCCTCCACCATGACACTGCTCTGCGGCGCACTGGTGTTCCTGGTCGCAGCCGCTCTCGGTGTCAGAGCAGATGACCCTTACCGCTACTTCACCTGGACCGTCACCTACGGCCCCATCTCCCCTCTCGGAGCTCCGCAGCAGGTGGATCACTAACGCAGCTCTGGTTTAGGGTTTGGGCTTCTTTCGTGGAAGAAGAAGCTGACATGGAGGTGCATGTTGGTTGTGCAGGGTATTCTCATCGACGGGCAGTTTCCCGGTCCTCGCCTCGACTGCGTCACCAACGACAACATCATCATCAACGTCATCAATCAGATCGACGAGCCTCTGCTCTTGACGTGGTACCTTCTGTTCTTTTCCTCTCTGCTTCGTCCCCAACACTGTTCCTCTGTCGCTTGGTCTGCGATTTGGGTTCTGACGAGGAAGCGATGTGAAGGAACGGAATCAAACAGAGGAAGAACTCGTGGCAAGACGGCGTTCTGGGAACCAACTGCCCCATTCCTCCCAAAGGAAACTTCACCTACAAGTTCCAGACCAAGGACCAGATCGGTACCTTCACGTACTTCCCCTCCACCGGGCTGCAGAGGGCTGCCGGTGGCTTCGGTGCCTTGAACGTGTACTCGAGGCCACGCATCCCGGTCCCGTATGCCCCCCCGGCCGGCGATTTCAGCTTGCTCGTCGGCGACTGGTACAAGACCAGCCACAAGGTACCTACAGACTTTTACCGGGTATGTGTGCCATAAAAGGTCGATCAAGATCTCACTTCTTCTTCACTCCGGATTGGTTTCAGGCATTGCAGAAAACTCTGGATTCAGGAGGCCCTCTGCCATTCCCTGACGGTCTTCTGATCAATGGAGCAGAGAAAACGAGTAGTTTCGCTGGAGATCAAGGTATCTCAGCCTTCTTTCCTTCATGAAATCCTCCGTTCGAGTAGGAATCGACCACTGAAGGGTGTGACATCGTTCAGGGAAGACGTACCTCTTCAGGGTTTCCAATGTCGGCTTGATGACCTCCATCAACTTCCGGATACAGAGCCACAAGATGAAGCTCGTGGAGGTCGAGGGATCCCACACGCTTCAGAACGACTACGACTCACTCGACGTCCATGTAGGCCAATCCTTGTCGGTGCTGGTGACCCTCGACCAGGTCCCCAGGGACTACTACATCGTCGCCTCCACTCGCTTCACGAGGAAGGTCCTCGTGGCCACCGGCGTCCTCCATTACAGCAACTGCAACTCCGGCCTCGCTGGCCCTGTCCCCGAAGGTCCGGGGACAGCCGGCTTCCATTGGTCCATGCTGCAAGCAAGAACCTTCAGGTACGAAATCTAAAGCTAAGAATGGCTGCAATGCTGGTGTTCTTTGATGATCGTTCCTTGGCCTTAAACCGGTGGTGTCCTGTTCTGCTTCATGGAGATGGAACCTGACGGCGAGCGCAGCACGGCCGAATCCCCAGGGCTCGTACCACTACGGCAACATAACAAGAACGAGGTCGATCGATCTGGCCAATTCAGCTGCTGTGATCAGCGGGAAGCAGCGGTACGCCGTCAATGGCGTCTCCTTCGTCGTGCCCGACACGCCGCTGAAGCTGGCGGACAACTTCAACATCACCGGCGTCTTCACCTGGGACACCATTCCCATCCCACCCAGCGCCGCTCCGGCGGTGCCCGGCACGCCGGTCCTCCGCTTCAATCTGCACGACTTCATCGAGGTCATCTTCCACAACGCTGAGAACACCACCCAGACATGGCATCTCGATGGCCACGATTTCTGGGTCGTCGGGTGAGATCCAAAAGCCACTCCATCTTTGGCGAATGAAGAAACACACCAGTGATCTGTTCTTGGATCTTTGCAGATATGGCTCAGGAAAGTGGACGCCGGAGCTCCGGAAACGCTACAACTTGATCGATGCGATCACGAGACATACGGTTCAAGTAAGCATGACAAGCTCGCTTGCATGGTTCGTCTTCCACTTCTGCCATCAACTGCATTGTGGCTGATGCTTGTCTGCGTCGTATCGATGGTGCAGGTTTACCCCAGTGGCTGGTCTGCGATATTGGTGTCTTTGGATAACCAGGGAACGTGGAATCTGAGGTCTGCAATGTGGGCAAGGCAGTACACGGGGCAGCAACTCTACATCAGAGTGTGGACCTCTGAGAAGAGCTACTCGAATGAGTATGACATCCCTCACAATGCTCTCTTCTGCGGAAAGGCTACCGGTCTGCATGCATGATGGATCTCTTGAAGCAGTAGTGTTTGGTATTAGCTGTTAGTCTCTGTCACGAAGGTGTGACTGCAAAAGGAAGCAACGTTTCCATGACTTTGTACCCCTCCTATCTTCTTTTAGTTCTACCAAACATGATTGATGTTATTGGTGTACTCGAGTTTCTTTGTGAGAGACAAAGGTGTAGTTTCCTCTCTTTTACAGCTATTTAAACTATGAGAGGCTAGCTTTTTAATCATCACTACTAACATGCAATGCATTTGTGATGTGAGCAGGCATTGGTTTGGATGAAGCTTCAGCTAAAAAGGAAAGCTCACAACATATGAGATATTGGACAAACACTAGCTCTAACCATTCATCAATTCAAATTCTAAAAATCAAACAAGTCCAATATACCATTTTAAGTTCAGTATATCTAGAGAAATGTTTATATTCCTTAAGGTCAAAGCCCGGTCCCCAAATAAAATCTGGTCAATGCAGGTTACATCCAAAATCATGTTTGCAGGTTACAATCTGCAAACATGATTGGATCAACAACTAGTCTTACTCTTCAGTCTCTCAGCATAATTCTGATAGGAACTAGTATTAGATCACTAATCAGATGCATGCTTAGGGAACCAAAGTACTACAAAAATGATTAAATGTAGCAAGGCAATGCCAACTGCCAACCAGTTGCATGGCAAATAACTTACAAAGTTACATGCAGCCAAGTATATAAGAAGCATCAATTCTCTCCTGCATGTTCAATCAACTTGTATGTTCAGCTCACAGGCGCAAGTTAGATTCTAATGAACTGCTCAAACAAGAAGGTCCTTTGAAATAGAATTTAGATAACTTTGGGGGGCTCGGATTATACCTCAGGCATGCAAGTTACTCTTAAGGAAACAGTGGCTGGTACTGCAGCCCTGTGTCCTCTGGAAATCCCATCATCAAGTTAAGATTCTGCAGGGCTTGCCCGGAAGCTCCTTTTACTAAGTTATCAATCTGCATAATCAAAAACAGCATCGCTTGAATGCTCATGACAGTGCTATTTATATTAGTGATGACCAGCGAAGGATGTCAAATGAACAGCCATTCAAAAGAACAAAAGAGAGCACATACAACCGAGATTATGATCGCTCTCCCAGGAATCCGATCTTGGAAGACATTCATCAAGCAGTAGTTTGAACCTCGGACATGACGTGTGTGGGGCACAACTCCTTTCTCCAACAATCTAACAAATTCTTCAGTCTGCATAAGAGATTGCTATCTATTAATGGGACAGGAAACACATGAAAAAGCATATATAACATTATGGAAGTGTACTTTTCAATATGACAACCTCAGATGTGGAAAATTACAGATTCAGCAACTATGAGATATCCATTGCTGCACTAGTGGCAGAATATTAATTGCAGGAAGCCATCCGTGCAATATATTGTTTGTAATGATTAGAGAAATATGCAGAAATAAAAGTGCTAACTCAGCAATCACAACATACCTGATAAGTATTGTTCAAATGTTCATACAAATCATCGATATTTACCCCAGGAGCCATTTCAACATATATGGTTGATTGCATCCCACGGCTCTAGAAATATTCATATCGACATACAATAGACCATTCAAACGGACTACAACTGAAAAACATATCAAATCAACTTGTATATGTAAATCTTAGATTGGTATTTACCATAGGCATCAAGTGAGGAGTGAAGCTAACAGTTATTTTAGAATTTGAAGCATCAGAGAGTCCTTGTTCGATTTCAGGAACTGAAAAGAGGAAAGAGTAGTCACATAATATTGATGTGATACAGGCAAAATACAATAACATGAAAAGGAAAACATCTTAATCATACTATAATACCATGTCGGTGCTTGGTGATCCCATAAGAATGAAGGCCTTCAGCTATTTCAGTGTAAAGATGAGCCTCCTTAGCTCCACGTCCTATATGCAAAACATTTGAAGTCAGAAGCTGGTAAAATAAGTCTGCAAGAATAATTTTCCTGTGACAAGAGTAATTTATAGAGAAGAGATGTAAGACATGTCCAAACCTGCACCACTAACACCAGACTTTGCATCAATAATGATATTCCTCAGTTCTATTAGATGAGCCTGAAAAATGAGTAAACATATTCATGGACATCTATGCCTAGATCTCCTACAGAATCCAGTATTTGAACTTTGGAACAAAAACAATAGATTGTAGCATTTAATACTTCGCCTTTTAAATCTATTTTATTTAGTCTTATCGATAGAAAGTAAAATATGTAGTCAATTTGAAAGTTGACTGGGCCAAACATGTATACAACGAAAATTAATTTCTTCTTTGATGTCTTAATAGGTATCCTATTAGATTTATATTCATCATATATTTACCATAACATTTCACCTTCAGTGGAAAGTCAAGGCAATCTAGTCAACAAATAAACATGCATATTGCACAAAAATGTTTTGAAACACATGACATGCACAGTATGTCTTGTAAAGTCTAAATGGTGACACTATTGTATTCAAATCCAAGTTGGATAAATAGTCTAATCTCCATGGGTGGTCAAAAATGACTAATTTTGCAATATACTATAGAACGGAAGAGATGTTAAAGCTTGAACCTTGATCAATGGAATGAGAGGAAGTTGAATGGATGTTGGGTAACAACCAGGATTTGCAACTAGTCGTGCATTTTGGATTTCACCCCTCAAAACCTCTGTCAACCCATATACAGCTTCTTTCTGAATTCAGGAAGAGTAACTTTATCAAGCTTTAACAGCTGTGAAATTTCAGTAGCAACATATCAGTGCAAACATAAGAAATTAGTGTAAAATTTAGACACAACTTGAATAGAGTAACAAGCAACAGTTAATGATACCAAGATAACTATTAAACTCACTATACAACAGCCAGCATGTTGATTAACCAAAAGAAGGAAATTGTTTCTTACATATGTCTGGAAGTATCCGATTTTTGCCCTGAATTTAAAGATAAGAATTTAGCTGAAGAAATAAAACAATAAAGAGAGCTCAATGGTGGCAAAAAGACCCATGTAGTCAGCCTCAAGTAGTTGCCACATTATGGCTTATTGTTGTCGTCGTAGACAAAACAATAGAGAGATACAAAGTTTACAAACAACACTCAAAAGAAGAATACATTCAATTCAAGTAAATCACAAGTTAGACTATTTCAAAGTTTATCCCTTAGCATCTTTCAATACCAGTACTAGTAAAAGATATGTATAGAATATTTTGGGAACTGGGTTTTCATATATAAGAAAAATGTCAACTTTCAGAGCTACAGAAAATATTATTATGGATTGAACTTATGAGTTATATTAGAAACTTTGACAAGAGAATAAAAGAAAAATGACTTAAGATATGAAATAAACATCTACTAACACCAATTTAATTTTACATAGAAGAATCAGCCTTGAAATTAATGATATTTAATATTTATATTAAAAACACTTACACAGAACGTTCAAATATAGATTGACCTAGAAAAATATCTAATGATATTACTACAAGGGCGTACCCAGTGCATAAGACTCCTGCCAATATGGGGTTTGGGGTGGGTCATGTACACAATTTTACCTGTAAATATTTAAAAAGACTATTTTCATGACTCGATCTTACAGGTCACAAAGGAGCAACATTCCCAATGTACCAAGGCTTACTACATGTATCAATTTTAGGGAAAAAATTTTGAAGTCATTTGAGACAATGCAACTGAAAATATAAATAAAGAAGCAGCTATGGCAGTCCACATATCACAATATTGCCTTATGCAGCTTAAAACTTTGTATACTAAAATTCTGGATGAAATCATATACCTTATGATTTAACAGTTACTGATTTTGTAGCAGCTTATAGCTCGGTCCCATTAGTTTCTAAATTCTAATTATTTTCATCTGTTATTTCTAGGTTTTGGAGTCTTTTTTTGTTGGTTTTATTATTTTTTCATCCCAAGACATCGGTCAACTGATCTAATATAACAAATAGTGGTCCCAAAAATTTTCATAGTCGGTCCAAAATTAATCTTCATTATGTGAACCTTGGATATATGGTCCTTAATTTCTCGAGTGAGATCACTCTCAACGAAGCTCATTGGCGAAAAAGAATCCATGAAGTCAAACCATAGAAATTGGAAAATGGCTTGTGGTTTTGGCACTAGCAACTGATCTTTATGGTTGGGGAAAAAAACAAAAGAAACATGCACACAAGAAGAGATTGTCAAAGAAAAAGTGAAGTAAATGTAATAAAAGATGAAAATTAGATGTAACATAACACAGATGATATCACATAGTCATCAATTTTGCCTGATAAGAACAATGGTTAAGGATGAATGCGAGGTAGCACTAACTTCCATCAGGATTTGCAAACATGCAAATAATTAGTACCAAAACTAATCAGATTTTATCAAGGTGGTACCATATGACCCACACTAAAATTAAAAGGTAACAGTGATATTTATTACCTGCAACTCAGATGCTTTATGAGGCAGACCATACCATTCTTCATATTCATTGACGTCACGCAACCGAAAATCCTGTAAAGGGTTTCTACCAGTTACTATGCTGAATTATCACTTGAGAAAATCAAAGTTCCTTGCCCACATATGAAAAATCCATGATAATTGCAGTAGTGTGCCAAAGCATACCGCAGAGAGATCAACAATCTTAAGACCCTTGGGGAGGCCTTTAATAATTTCCTGCGATAAGAATGCAGCAAGAGTCAGATGATATTAACAAGAAAAAAATCAGAATTTATAGTAGACAAACGGAGTAATGAGTTATTAGACACCCTCCGAAAGAAACCAAAGAAAAGACGTGCAACTCATGGTCGTGATGATGGTGGCCATTCCACTTTATTAGCTTTAGTGCCTATACCAATTGCTTGGGAAAAATCAATTTAACTATCTTTATAAAACTCAAGGTCAATACACAAGAACCTGTGTTGTTCCATGCGGCAAACAACAAAATACAGCATCCACATTGGAAAAATCAGCATCTTTAACTGCTACCATATTAGGCAAGTCCTGCAATAACAGAAAAGAAGATGATAATCTTGAGTCTTCTTCCTAACAGTAGGTTTACCATTAGATTAGAAGAGACTCGCAAAGAAAAGACACTCTAATGTGCAAATCAGTCTAGTAATTAAGGTCCTTCAAAATATAACATCTTATAAGTTATTAAATTGTTGACTAAAGCTTCAATAAAAACTGGAAGAGGGAACATATTAACCCTGTCTAATCAGATTCCAATATCCACATTACTGTCACCAACCAACATGACCAAACCTTTTGTCAATATAGAATTTAAATACTAATACTAGGATCAGGCAATTGTTAAGTAGGATCTTTTTCTAGGAATCTGATCATAGAGAGGAAGAATGACTTTGCAGACATACCTGCGTGATCAAGTGAGGAAATACGGATCCAATTGATTGGCCTGCTTTTCTATCAGCAGTCATTAGTGTGATACCAAAATGTGGATGGTTTGCTAGGAGTCGGACAATCTGCTCAACAATTTGAACAGCATACCATGAGAACAGAAGCATAAAAGAAATTTATAGAAAGCAGTCACCCATGTCATAACATTGCCAATATTGTACATGAGCAAGTCAAAGGCAATAATTTACTTAAAACACTCGAAGAAGTCACTTAGAAAACTCTGTTTCAACTGCTAATAGTGTCAAAAATATGAAAACTAGTTGAAACTGACCATACACAAAATATGTTAGGCAAACAATCCAGGTGCACTGACATAACACTTAATTTTTTCAAAAGTATGGACCAATGATGTGAACAGTAAGCAAGTAAGAGCTCTAATATTCAGCACTAATTTTCATCAATCAAACTGTTGAAGTTGAAAGAATATTCAAATATCAGATGAGGCAACGATCCAGTGAAGTTATCTGCACCAACAAAACATACTTAATAGTCCTGTAATTAGCCTCGAAATTGAATCTATTATTCATTACTTTTTCTCAGAATACTTGTACTCTTTCTTATATTGAGATGAAAGTGGACAATCAAGATCCATAAAACAACCTTCACATTGGGAACAATACTCTATGAGGGTACTTGGCCAAAAACTATCTACATGATAATCAAATTTCACAATTGTGTCTATTTTCAGCCATAACGTATGTTCCTAAACATCAGCCATACAGTACACCAATAATTATCAAACAAGTACATAAAAACAAAAAGGGAATCTCAGTTATGTGACTATTATAGTAGATCCAGTGAGAATAAAAAATGATTGGGCAGAGGCTTTAGTCACTGATTCTATGGAAGCTCTAGTCCCCTGTCCTCAACTTAGAAGAGAAATTTGTGATCAACAAGAATGGATAGATTTCTGGAGAAAAGGCTCCATCTTCCAGAGCACAAGAGATTACAACCATTCCACCCATAGCTGGAGAATAGTGTGGTTCTTTCCTTTCCCTATTGTGATGAACGCATCTATTTTCAGAAAATGATGGTGAGCCGGATTCCAAGTGAGAAGACTTCTGTAGGTCGCTTTCCTTCAGTAGGATAAACACTAATAAACGTCTAGATATTTAGGATAGTTCAGATTTTAGTTCAAATGATCTACAAAGAGTTATATATACATGTATGTATATATATGTATATGTATAGGGAGAATTTTTATATAGCTTTCCACTGTTATTAGTAAACTGGACAGGACATATACAAACAATGAGGGAGGTAGAAAGAAAAGAAATGTGAAAAATGATGGAAAACAGGATTTGGTCATTTCTTACACCTTAATTTTGTGTTCTTTATAAGGGTCATGACAAACAATAATATTTCTTGCCTATATTTTATTAAACTAAGGAATAACTATATGCACCTTAAGCCTTCTCCCGAGAGTAACTCCAGGACATCAAAGGCATGTAACAACTAATACCATTTTTAGGACTCTGACATAAGCTTAATCTACTTGCATTTACCTGAGAACAATTAATTCATGGAAAAAAGTTAAAGCTAAAACCTAATCGAATATATTTTTCTCATCAATAGAATTTAGCACCAACTCAGCATGGGTTAGGGGAAACCATTATAAACTGGAAAAAAAAATAATGCCCATCAATATATAACATAAAAATAGAGGTCTCATGGGTTAGAGAGCTAGCACAAACGGCAAGGAGTAAATTATACCTCAGCCCCAGTATATCCACTGGCCCCCAAGACTCCAACACGGACCATCTTCTCTGCTTGTTTTGCATTTGCCTTTGAAAGTTCCAAGGTATCAGGAGATGAAACCACAGATGCTCTGATGGACAACATGCGACCACTCCCCTGCCTTGTGCTCAATCTCCTCACCTCATACTAACATCAAAAGTGGAAGTTTAAGCATCCAATAATATTTTCTTCTTAATACTCATAGAAGTAGTACTGATACAAATTTTCTCTTAAAACTCAAGAGAGGAGTACTGACCTTCCGAAGGCATCCAAATTCCACGGATACCGATCCACCTATAGTGGAGCTCATATTCAAGTTTATTGTTTCGTGTTTTACTCTTCTTTTCCCTGATAAATAGGATGGTTACAACAAATATAAGAAGAATCAGGTTCCCACTGATTGAGAGGGAAAATGTCAACTAAAAAAGAAATCTTGGAAGAATATGGATGCCAAACACTAAATGTCGTCTCTTGAGACTAGATGGTACACTAGATGCTTTTGAAAAGGACATCAAGTTTGGGAAATTAGTATCAGCGTATGCCTAAAGTACAATTCCGGTAAAAGGTTTCTCATGTACATGGTGAAAATTAAACGTGGTCGGAAGTACAATATTTTAATGGAAAAAGTGGATAGACGGGGAAAAATCACAGGACAAACATGATTTCACCATCCCAATTAGCTTCCTCATGTCCCACTCCGATCATCCACATTCAAGTAGAACTGAAATGGAGCACGCAATGCCAGTACAAATATAGAAGAAAAAGGAATTCAGAAAGAGGGCGACTTTCAGAACAAATCATCATAGAGGATGCAAAATTTGAAGGAGGAAAGAGGGAGGAAGAAGGAAAAAGAGGACAACGGAAATGAACTCGCGAAAGGAGGGCGGACAAGAAGGATGAGGTCACGGAGGGAGTGTGCTCCTCAGAAAGAACAGAGAAATCGGTGGCGTCGATGGTCGACACAGGCGATAGGGCACGAACCGAGGAGCCGCTGTCGAGCCGCCGGCGTACTTGAGCGACGGGAGAGTCCGAGCAGCGGAGCGGTGGCGGCGGAGGTCGAGGGGAACGCTTGGAGGGTGATAGGAGGTCGGATATGACTGCCACCAAGAACTGGTATTCGCTTGGGTTCGACCCCCTCCACAATGGTCCCCACCCCCAATTTGGTTGTGTGAGGCCACGTCAGAATTCAAATCCCTAAAATATTAGGGATCTAACGATAGTTTTATAGAATTTTTCTTCGATCCAACTCAACTATATTCTTATGTCTACTGCGAGTATTACTAAAAATGTATCATATATACTTTATCTTAGTCTTAATTTAAAACCTTTAAATTTCAAATTAACTTCATTTAGACTTTTTTTATCAACTAAAACACTATCTGTTTAAAAGAATAAATAAATTAAACTATCTAAAAACCTACTAACCAATGGTAGCTAATTCTGGTGACAGTATGTAATACGCAAACACTTCAGTTTTTATCTTTTTCTAATTCATACATGAATAAATAATACTGTTATTATCCTTCCAACCTGATAAAGTCGCTTCGAATAAGTTTGATTTAGAGAAACTGAGATCAGTAAGCCTAGTCGATATAAATCTGAAATATCAACGAAGAACAGCAGTCAAATAACTAATATTACAGCTGGAATTCAAACATCTTAAGATTAAAGATGTCCGATCCGAACATACACCAGACAAACAACCGACAAAAAAAAAAAAAACCTATCAAACTTCAATATAAATATATAATGTCTTGCAACCAAGTTTTCCTCATGCCGGAGGTGATTCAGCACCATCATGCAGAGCGCAGCAAACGGTTGCCTTGTGATGCCCTTGGTACATTCTAATGGTTTCTCCGTTGGACATTGCCCACAGTCTTGCGGTTGTATCGGATGAAGCTGCACGCAACAATATAATTTTCCATTGGATTGTAGAAGCAAATCAAACGAGGAAAAACACTATATTATATGTATTACCTGTTATCAGATAAGCACCATCCACTGAGAAAACACAGTCCCACACCCAGCGCTGATGTCCTAAGAAAATGTTCAGACAAGGCATGAGATAACTGAAATCGATATATGGCCAGAAATAAAGTTCTCCTTACCGGTCAATACTCGTTCCAATGTGAATCCATCAACATTCCATATTTTTACAGTGTGATCGGATGATGCAGTAGCAAGATACCTAGGAGTAATTCAACAGATATGAAACCGTGCGTACCACTTAAGAAAATATTATTTGCTTGACTGACTGATCTTATTATCTACATGCTGCACCATTCAATGCCTTCTTAGGATAATTATAAATGATGACAAATTCTGAACTCTACCATGAAGTTAAGTGTATTTTCGACTTTACAACATAAAACAAGTGGTAGTTACCTGTTGGGATCACAAAATTCTGGTGACAGCAGGCACTTCAAGATATAGCCATCATGTGCTTGTAATTTATGTAGTGGTTCGAAGTAGGTCATAGTCTACAACAAAAATCATCCAGCTTACAAACTGATTGTTACAAAATGCTATTCATTATCTAGATATATAAAAGCAAGAAACCTGTGTTCCTTTTAGCAAGCGCCACACATAACATGTTCCCCGGTTATTTGCAGCAACAACCATGCTGCCATCCCACATTACTGTCAGAGACCTCACAGCAGTATCAACCTCTGGAACCTGAACTCGGATGTATAATGCAGCCGAGTGAAAATTTAATTCACCACAGAATAGATAACAGCATTGCAGGTACTATAGATGTGCGTTGATTCAACTTTTATAAGCTCATATCAGCACATATGTCCTTACCAACTCACAGCTGCATGAATTTGCAGCCAGATCCCATACTCTTATGTTTCCATTCTGATCACCAGATATCAATTCCTTCTGCAAGGACAATAGATTTAGCCTAGTGTCATATGGCACCCTTCAATTTAACAAGACACTAGCTGTCACACGAATCAGAGCTTTAGAATTGGTCATGATCATATGAGATAAGGTCCAGAAGAGGAATAGTATAAAGAATATCACTTGATTTGGGTGTAGAACTACTGTATTCACAGCTGCACGGCTTTCATATTCCCGTTGACATGTCGCAGTCCTAAAACAGTAGCATAGGCAAATTAGACATACTTGAAGCTTAAAGATATTAGTATATATTTATACAGAAGACAACATACATATAAAGAACAAGCAGTGTTAAGATTGGTCATTTTAAAAATAACCTTTCACCATTCCCCAACAATACACATCCAAAACTTTTGCTCTCATATTTAGTATTTCAATTCTGCTATATAGACTCCCTAGGCATACAGGCGATGAATTGAACCCATAATAAGTTGAGTTCTACAAATAAGTCATGAGTCATTCACAACTTCAAATGGTGCAACCTAAGTCATTTATATCAGATGAGAAATGGCACGAGGAAGTTCAGGAAAAGACACAGCAGTTGCATTAATTACGACAAAAAAATGAAATGAAATAAGCTGTTTGAAGTACCTTAAGTCCCAAATCTTCACTGTCCCATCTTCAGATCCTGAGTACATCCAATTGCCGTCACATTGAAATCCAACTGCCATCACATTACTAGTATGTGAATCATAGCTAATAACCTGACAAAACAATATTTTAAGTCAAAATAAAAACACAGAAAATATCATATTTCTAAACACAGAGACATACTGGGTGAGGACTATTGGAGTTAACATCGAAAAGGCGGATGTGAGGATTTCCTGCTGCAGCTAAGAAACGTTTATCGGGTGTTATCTCAAGCCTATTGACTTGCTGCAAAAAGCACAAAAGATGAATCAAGGCATGATTAGAAGCAATAAGATCATTTGTGAAAGAACTTATGACAAACTATATTGTCCTTCAAATTTTGCATAGTGTTTTTCTTTAATGTGGCATTGTTTTTACTTCATCGACAAAGAAAACAGATATCAATGAATTAAATGCAGTGTAACATCAAAAAAAGAGTAAGAGCAAGATTTACCCTTGTAGTCCACAATTGTTGAAATGTATGTTCTCAGCACCTTCCTATTTTTACTAAAGGGATGGACAAACTATTTCATAGAAAGACATCTTAATGTCTTTCAACTTCTATGCTTCAAAGGAAAAAAAGGATTCTAGTGTTCCTTAGATACAAAACAAACCAACTTCCAAGCTAGAAGGATATGGGCACTAAGAATGACTTAAACTAGGAAAAATCAACCAAAATAATCTAACACGATGACACAATATAAATATAAACTGTTATTATCCATCACACAAACGCAAATCACAACCATACAGGAATCAACAAACTCACCGAGTCGGGGTACTGAATGGTGCGGTAACATCGGCCACTCTTCGCCTCCCAGAATCTGATGGTGTGGTCATAGCTCGCCGTGGCAAGAATCACAGAAGGTTGGGTCATTCTTGAAGCCCCTATTGCTCACTAAACCTCCAACCAGAAAGAAGAGAGAAGAAAAAGGATCCCACTTATAGAACAACCATGAGATCACGGGGAAAGGAACGAAATTGGAACCGCTGGAGAATACCTCAACCGCCGAAACAATTGCCCCTACACTGGATCATGACTCCAAAGCATCAACCGTTACAGAACCCCATAAGATCCTAAAAGGAGCAGGCCGAACTGCATCGAGATCAAGAAGAGGAGGGAACCGAGGGCACGTCGATCAACAAAGAAGACCCATGCCGCCACAAACCCTAATCTTTGGGCACGACCTCTCACTGCCAGATCGAAAGCAGCGGCAGCAGAGAACTCCGATTCCCCTTAGACGCCCGCCTCGGGGATATCACGCGAATAAGGAAACCAAATACGGGATATCGACCCCTCACAAGATATGATATCACGCCATCCTTTCCCACACTTGACGAGGATATACACTCTATTACGATAAAAAAAAATCAATAATTTAAATTTCGGTCAGAAATGATATGATTTCGATATACGAACTAATTACATATTATATACCTTATATAGTTAGATATTTTTAACATTTTATTTTTTAGATTTAAAAAAAATATTAAAATCTTTATGAAAGGAAAATATTAGCATTATTTATTCTAACGTCACCGACTTTACTAATGAAAAATACAACACATGATTTTAATGGTATGAAAACGATTAAACGAAAAGATAATTTTAATGGTGATGATAAACGATGGCAATGTGGGTGGTTATTGTGATGGTGGTCGGCAATAACGACGTAGTAGCGGTCTTGCTAATGTCGATCTGAATATTGATGATGACGAAGAGGAAGAGAATGCAAAGCACTTATGCATTTGAGTTGACACCAACGGAGGAAGATGAGGGAGGTGAGGCATCTATGTCGGTACCACAGTTTCTGCCTCCTCTTCCTCCTCCAATATCGCTCGTCGGCATTGTGCTCAAATCTTTAGACGATCACTTCTTCCAATGGCAAAGCGAACTCGAGAAAGGGGCGGTGGGCGACGAGGAGGGAGAGGCTACGAGCACGCTTGCATCGAGCTCTCAAGTTTTAGATGATGCACAAACGATGTGTATGCCCCGATAATAGCGATGTGGTTGCCGACTTACTTTCGGATCAACTCCACCCACGACCTGAGGGGATTCGATTGGATGGCAAGGATTGATTGTCACACAAAATGGAAGTCCGATGAGTATAGATCCAACAACATGAGAGATAACAAACCCTCATCCTCTTTCGCCCTCGTTGTTATGGGGGAGAGTATTAGAAAGATAACAGTGACAAATATGATAAGCGAAAAGGAGATGAGGATTTGTTATCTCTCTCGCTATTGGATCTGTACTCTTAGAGCCTCCATTTTGTGCCACAATCAATCTTTATCATTCGATTGGATCCCCTTCAATCACGGGTGAAGCTAATCCGAAAGCAGGTCGACAACCACACTACTATGGCCGAGGGGCATACATGTCATTTACGCGTCACCTAAGCTCAAGAGGTTGAAGTAAGCACCTCGCTCGCAACCTCTCTCTCCTCATCGCCCATCGCTCCTTCCTTGAATCCGCTATGGCATTGGACAAAGTGATCATCCAAAGATTTGAGCACGGTGCCGACATGGATGCCTCACTGCTCTCTACCTCCTTGTCGTTGATGTTTTGATCGATATCGACAAGGTTGACCACTACTACAACAGCCACTCACGATACCATTGTTATTTGTCCATCATTTTCGTGTCATTCATGCACGTGTTCTCATGTGATGTATCTTCTATCGGTAAAACCGATAACGCTATAATAAATAGGATTAAATATTTCACTTTTATAACTATAAAGATTTCAATATAAATTTCTTAAATCAAGGTATCATGATATTAAAGATATCTACCAACGTATCCTGATGACTTATTAAATAAAATGATTAAATTACTACAAGTAAATAATCATATTGATAATTAATTACCATATATTTCTATATTGATATTTGATCAAACCAATAAATACCAATAAATATGTATTTTGGTGGTTCCTTGATGTTTATTTTTCTCATCAATCTTAAAAGAAAATTAGATGAGCTCCAAAACTTTGTCAAATGACTTGCAACGATAGACCAAATATAATAAGCAAATAAATGATCGAATACGACTTTGTTACAACGTAGAGGAGGCGTAAGCCTCACTTTAACCTGGACCTATTACCAATTAAAAGTTAGTGTGTATATGGTATAATTGACCACTTGGGCAACATAGACATTAAATATCTCAAGTCACAAGTTTTAAGTATAACCACAGCTTTACATACAAACCCTGCCACCATGTTCTTCTATAATATAAACAAATAATAGCAGAAAAGAGATCACAAGTATCTATAAGAGTTACAAGCATTTCCATAACTATTTTTCCACACCCATCAATCACAACTTAAATAAGCATGTTCTTCAAGTTCATATTGCAGGATACACTAGGTCGATGTGCCACTATAGCACTCATGATCAATCATCAACTGAAATCAGAGATAAAATTCAGGGTCAAAATAATTGCATGTTGCTGAAGCATTCCTCCACCGTCAAGGCTTTATCATACTTGAGAGGATAGCATCATGAAACCAAACCACCAAACATATACAATATGAACTTGGCATTGCGGAATAAACTCAACCACGATGTAGGTGAGCTGAAACCTCCGTCTGGCTTCATCACATTGCCACTGCAGCGTCAAATGGTCCGATGAGCATTCGGACTTCTTCAGTCTGAGTAGCTGTATAGTGTTTTCCTCACACTTTGGTTCCACCTAAACCAACCTCATCAAGGGTGACCGGACATGTAAAGACAAAGCAAACATTTCTGATACAGAAGGTTGATAAATAAATTACCAGGCAACCAATTGGGTCCTGCAAAGTAAAAAAAAGGTTCACTATAAAAGATTGCACTGCTCCTTTAATGGATATAATGAAAACACATCACAAGATGACAAACAATTTTGGATGATTGACCAACTACCCTACTAGAGGAGCAGGCACAATAACGCCAGTCAGTAACTGAACAATGACAGAAATTGTTCAGGGAAAGGAAAAGAAAAGGAGGAAAAAATGGCAAGAATTCTTACAAAATCCACCTCATCAATCAAATGTAGTCTTTATTTGCAGAAGAATATGCATCAACTCCCATCACATTCTGCACCATACTTCGTACATAAATGGTGTCTGAGATTCTTGACCGAGGCCAATAACGGAACACCGACCTTCCAATAATGTTCTTCACTGGAAGAGGCCCCCTGAGACAATAATATAATAGTTATGGAATTTCAATTGTTTGCAACTAATTTTAACATAACATTAACTTACAAAACCAAGGACCAAAGCTATTAGAAATTAGCATCCACACTGGGTTCAGGACTCACCAATTATGAGAGTCGAAGCTGTTATTTCGATTATCCCCCAAAACAAAGACACAGCCTTCGGGCACAAACTGCACAAAGGAACCAGCAATCAGTATACAGTTCATAATTAGTTTTCTAACAGATAGATGTTAAAATCAAAAACTAGCAAATTTATACCGAGAAGAAAATTATTAAACAAGAGAAAACTCTTATCTTATTGTTGAGAAACAAAAGGTTTATCAGGTTTCTAAAAAAATTATATCATTTCTTGATATCATATAACCTCTCTTGATTGTGGATAACACCATATCCTTTTTGTTTCTGTTTCAGCAAAAAAAAAATGAAAGAATTTATTTAACAATGTTCATTCATCTATCTTCATGAATTCCCATGATCACTAATGGTAATGTTCATACTTTACTCTTCTTGGAAAAAAAAAGCCTTTTGCCTCTGAAATAGTTGACCAAAACATACCATGTAATACAGTAAAAACTTCAAGAATCTAATCATGGTCACAACAGATTTTCATTTTTCTAAACCAACGTGTCCTAAGAAAGCACTATATAACAACATTGCATTTATACCATAAACATGATTCACCCAATATCAGCAGTCTAAGATGTTAGAGAAGTATTTTGGTTTGCAAAGCCCAAAAATCCATAGCATATGGCGTACCATTGGTTTCATTTCATATCGAAGTGGCTCTAGAATAAATTCTTCATCCTGGATTATACCATTCACCAACAGCTTACCATCACGTATCTGGCATACACAACAAGAGCTAAGTCATTTGCATATCATTTAGAGTATGGGGAATAAATATATCTACATAAGCAAGCAAAACGGAAGTGAGACAACTAAAACATAATGCATAGATTATGAGCTTACTTCAACACAGTCACCAGCCTTGGCCACAACTCTTTTGATAAAAACATCACGTGAACTATACCCATTTTCCTGCATCAAAGGAAATTCCAATAAATTTCACGGCCACATTTCAGCAGAACCACCATATTTGGTATTTATAAATATCCAACAAAGGACTAAGATGAAACTGCAAAAACAACTATACCTGAAGGATTGGTGGAGCTCTAAATATGACAATATCTCTGACTTCAGGCTCTCTAAACAAGTAAGAAAACTGCAGTTTCAATCAACACAAAATTATTATCAGCAAAACAAAATTGATTACCAGCAACAAAATAACAAATGTCAATATACCATATAATTTATTCTTGATATTATTATGATAAAAATCATTAATTAGTTCAAATTAAATGTTCAAAGGATAGAACAAAGGGAAGAGGCATAGAGTTTAATAATTAGCCCAATGTAAAACAATACCACCTCTTCATATTAGGATACAACCACTTCAATGTTAATTTAAACCACATATATGACACTAAAATTAATCACCCACAATGATTATCCAAATCTGGAAAGATTTTTCAAACTCAGTCGACAAAAGTAACAAATCACTAAATCAAACAAACAACAGGCACCAAGGAGTAGTCCTTACCCTCTCAGCTAGAATTCGATCTCCAACGTCAAATGTCGGAAACATCGACTTCGAAGGGATCGATCTTGGCTCTGCCAAGAATGACCCGTATAACAGCAGAACAGTCAACGCAGTGAAGAATGTCTTAGCGTCATCTGAACAGGAGCTAAGCATCCGAGAGACGGTGACGCGGATCGCCATAGCTGCTATATTGGACAACCGGAGAACGGTAGGGTACACGTAGATGGCGGAAGAGAAAGAGGAGAGGAGGAAGCGGGAGATCAGAAAGCGAATCTCATTCCGGCGATGGAGGTGGCCGAACCGGGATCGGGAAAGGGGAATCGGGGTTCTCGGACGACGGGTTTGGAGTTCAGAGAGCGCTGGAGATCCGAAAGCTGGGGGTCTTGGGAAGGTGAGGGATTGGGAGGATTAGGGTTAAGAGTGTTGGCTTGAGGAGCACCTCCCAACGAAGGAAGGCGGATGGAAGACTAGTGTGAGAGGAGAGAAGAAGTTTCCAGAGGGGTTTTATCGTGAGGACTTTTAGAAAAGGGCTGATACTTGGTGATATTTACGAAATTGCTGTAGCTACATTTCTATTTTCTTATAATATTATGGAAAATTCTTTCTCAAATCTAGTCAAGAACAGAAGAAATTGAATAAATTCTACAGAAAGACTTAGCAATCATAAATGTAGAAAAAGACACTTTAGGAAACAAAATAATCCTCTGAAATATAAAATTTAGCGAGCAAATGTTTGTTTGGTGCATGGTTATTCCATTTGCCATGGTATTTCGGTAATAATAGGACAATCAAGAGGGCCTTTCACACACAAAATGATTTGGTTTGACTCTCAGCAAAGCTGTTGTTTCCCGGAACCTTCATCCTCTTTATGAAGGGGGATATCATCTCTGACTTCCTGTGAAATACTTAGATATGTAATAAACGAGTGTGGATCTTTCGACGACTCATTTTCAACGAACACAGCGTTCCGAACATTTTAATTTTTAATTATCTATTTAAAAGTAGAATCTAAAATTTATTAAGGAGTACAGTTTATCAAAAGAATATGAAACTCTCAATAAAATACTCAAAAGGAGAATTTGTTAGTTCCAAATTCCAATAAACACTGTTTCATTAATTTTATAAGGGGTAAATTCATCCATACGATGGTTTCTATCTACGTTTCCAACCATCACATCTCGTGTATACAACTCAAAATATTAAAAATTATACACATATATGTTATATTCAGGACCATGCTTTTCAATTGTCAAAGGGTGTCAACTAATTAGTTAATTGGTAGCCAAAAATTGTTAACTAAGCTGAGTCGCTTGTTGACCACCAAAGATCTAGCTGTCATGGAATGTGGTAGAATGAGAGAGAGAGATGATAAAAGATATTAATTGGAATAAGGAAAAAAGACTAAGGTGGAAGGCGGGCATAACGTCAGCGCATGCGTCATAGCAGCGCATACGATTAAGTGAAAAATTAAAAAGAAAACCCAAAAATATAAATAAATTGCCTGAGTTTTGACTTTCACGGGTCAAAAGGACACGCATCTGTCAATACACAATGAGCTTTTGGACCAATCAGACGAACGGTTGGAATTAAGAATCAAAACGAAAAAAAACAAGAGTTAAGAATCATTAGATAAGTCATCAACCGATAGTCAGACTTGTGCCTCAATTAATAGACTTGGAAGATTTAAACTGCATCAAACAAAACCACCAACAGTTTATCCGTACTCTTACAGTCACTAAACGGGTGAAGAAGCTCCCCTGTAACATCTGCCACAAGTCCTTTGATGCCTGTGATAAGCCACTTAATTACTTCACGTACCTGCTTCAATCAAAAAAACTTTTAAGTGGCGATCAATCTCAGGCAACAACTGAAACAACTGGATTAGAAGAGAATTGCTAAAATTAGTATTGCGTCGCAATTTGAAAGATCATTATCACAATCTCATTCATTTTATAGTTTATATTAATGCAATACGTAATTGTTGCAGCCAGAATTTTGGAAGTTAAACACCAAAGAGATCGAATACAACCTTCCAGGTGTATTTCAGATCAAAGATTAGAACCAACAGTAGTTGAAAGAAAAAAGAAGTCGGGTGATATAGTTTGCAAATAAGCTTAGCTTCAACACATTCTTCTTTTGTGCAATGCATGCTTGTATAGAATCAAAACATGACAAATTAAAGTGAAACTTCATTAGGAATTACTAGCTAGAAAGCATGAAACTTACATCGGGTTCTTGTGTTTACACAAACTTGGAATAGTTAAGAATGTTTATTAACAACCACAATTGGCACTGATCATAGCAATCCAGTTGTTTCTTGCAGTCCTTGTGTGTACCTAATGTGTGAAAGACCTTACGAGTTTGCAGCTGTATTTATAGATGCTGTTATCAGCAATGATAGAAGCCATTTCAGCATTAACACATTATCAGTTACTCATTCCATTAATATCCAACATACTAGTTTCCTATCCCTTATAATTCTGAGAGGTTTCTGCTGTAACCACTATAATTCCGACACACAGGTTTCCACCATGATTGAGTACTAGATAGAGGCTTCTTACTTTATTTTTGACATCTATTGGCTTTTTCATGTGAAAAGGTTTAAAGTAAAATTATTGCCATTCAAGTTGCTATCACTTTCTAGTTAAATGTGTAGTAGATTTTGGAACTCAGGTTGATATATAATTTGGGCATCCCCAGTTGCCACTACATGGCCCCTACTTATTCACCAGACCCAAGAATAAAATTCATGCACCTAATACAATTTCCCTGTGGCCCGAGAAGAAGGTTCTAGATGGGCCAAAACTTTTCCTCAAAGAAAAAAAAAATACTGGATTATGAATCCATGAAATTTCTATTATCTGAATTTTACCATCTGGTTAAACAGAGGGTTTAAGAAGAAATCGTGCCCTCATAATTACTTTACTGCATTCAATGTTGACATAATTGATGTGAAAATGTGAAGCTTTCCTCTCAAAACACAAACTTCCTAACTATGGTTGTAAGAATTAGAAAAAGTGCATTTTGACATAAAGTGGGAATAGATTTATTGCTATGATGAGAACATCAACAAGCATCAGATATTTTGTTTTAACCAACCAAATTATTCTTAAATGATAATTCATATATTGTTACAAGTCCCCAGTAAAGACTGTCTTGAAATACAAGCCACAATCAGGAAGAAATGGCACAAGAAATTGAATATCAAGCAAATATAAATTTAAAAGGGTGAAATAATGATTAGGGATTTCTTTAACCAAGGAATATTTAAAAAAAATGCATAAAGCTAATATAAGCTCTCAGGGAGGATCCTGACCATAAGGCAAAAATAACTAAAACCAAACCAACTATAACATAATAATGATCTCAACAACTAACCCTACATAATCATTATGTATTCAATATCATGCTAAAACATTTTGCATACTTTGAAAAAGCTATGTAGAGGATTAAATAAATTGGAGCGACGGGTAGATAAAAGAAGAACATCTTATGTTGATGTTAATACATAAAAAGACACTAAAAACGTTAATTTCATGCATGCTAAGTGGATTGCAGTGGTAGATTTTAATCAACTGTTTTCTGAACCCAATTTAAGAGAAAACTGGAAATTGAACTTATGGTTTTAGCTGTAAAACAACACAAACAAAGTAGGGCCTGGGGTGCTATTATATTGAGCAAATGCATTTGCTTTCAACAAATCAATTTTGAGTTTCAAAATATATTTTCTTCAAGAAAAAGAAAAAAACGAAATAAAACTCAGTAATGCCCTCGCTATTAGGTAGAATTCAACTATTGTACTAAATTAGACTGATCAATGTGATGTCTGTTTAGACCATTTAAAATTTTTCCTGCTCTTTTCTTCAGTTTGCACCCATTTCTTATCACCAATCAATCCATTTAATTAGTTCGAAAGTAATAAAGAAGAGAGAAACCTACAGTGTCTTGAAACGATAACACCATCCTCCTGCATCCACCCAAAGGTCAACGTCTCCTGAATCACCCATCTTTCCCGTTCCTCCCTATCATATCCCAAACCCAATTATCTTGAATCAACCAAAAGTCGATCTTAGGTAAAGCAACAGATCCATTTAATATAAAACCTAAAAAATACCATAAGAAAGAAAGATGTCCATAATCGTAGCCATCTGACCATAAAATTTATAATAAATCCATCTTTGCAGACGCATACAAGATCAAAATTAATTTTCCTCCATAAGTTCACATTCATTTCAGGCTAACCATAGATCTCAACAAATGCGACGAGATTTACCCTGAGAAAGCTCACAGCAAGCTCTCGCGCTGACGGAAAGATGGGAGGTGAGTCGCGGAGTGGCCGCCACCGCCTGCAATGGGAGAAGAAGCTGCACGCATCTGAGCTCTCCCAACGATCTGCGCAGAACCGTATTCAGCGAAAGGGAGGGATCGGTCCGAACGAGGGTTTAAGGGGGAAGGGGTTTTCACCGAGCAGAAGCGGAGGAGGTACGACGGCGAGGGAGGCGAGGCGCGGTGGGTGACGGAGGGCGGAGGCGGGGAAGCGCCGGCGTCGGCCGTCGTGGTGAGGATCGCGCGGCGGCGAGAAGCGACCGGGACACCGAGCCTCTCCAAGCCATTTCGCGTCGCCGAGGGTTTGGGGTTTCTTAGCGAGAGCACAGGGGACAACCAAAAAATAGTTTGCAATGACAGGAGATGATTCGAAACGAGAGACGGTTTTTAGTGACTTATCGAGGGTATATATATATATATATATATATATATAATTTATATTTATATTTATATTTGCAATTCTGCTCTTCCTTTTATTTGTTTTTGGTAAAACATAATTATTACTCTATTTATAACTTATGATGTTAAGTTAAAATACCAATTGGATTAATAAACTCAACCTTAATGGAACACTTACGTGATGTTCATATGCCATAAAGTAGATTGACAATACTAAGTATTGGATCAGCCTATCGAAACAAATGTGTTAAATAGGATCTTTTTTAATAATTGAAGTTTGAGATAAGTGATAATCCAATCAAAATTTGATCATCACATCACATCACATCGATGAGCGAATTCAAAATTCATTATGCCTTTTATCATTTTCAATATAACTAAGATTTATGCAATGCCTATTCCTCTTTGGCTTACACGTAAAAGAGATAAAATCCAAGTATAGATCAAAATCTATCATAGAGAAAACTTCTTCAGACATGATCATAGGCAGAGTCTAATTATAACGGATGAGATTGTGATGAAAAGCCCAATATTATCATTTCTTCTTCGGATAATGTGTCTCATGAGATGTAAAATAACTCCTTAAGATAATGTTTGTCCCCAAGAAAACCCACACCATCAATGCTTGGCTCGTGAGTCACAGGCCAATCAGTTGCAGCGGATCGCAAGTATCGGATATGATTAATCAACGACCGTTCATTTGATATGTGACTAAGGCCAACGTCTTGTTGCCTTATGATTCGTGCAAAGAAAGATAGTTAAAGCAATCACTGTCCGATCGAAAGTTCACAAATCTTGAAGATTCATTGCCGGATTTACGAAAAATCGGGCGGATTTCGCTTTTTTATTTATTTATATGATTAAGCGTTAAACCCGAAAGGAGGCGTCAACAAAATTCGTTCGTAATTGACACCAAAGCGTGGCCACCCAAAACTACACACGCCAATGTCCGCCACAATTGAAAGGGGGACCCGCGGCATAGAAATTTCCGAGTACCAAGTTCACGCGAGCAGTGACGCCAAGGCCTGTTCGTATCCCACACCACCAAACCCGCCATGAGAGGCAACGGGGGCTGGCGCCGCCATCGTCAACACCCGACGGAGGAGTACCAGTCGGCGGAGCTCGATGAGCCTCCGGCTGAGGGCGGCGGACTGGGCACGGAGGCCGTGGTTGGCGCGGTGGACGAGTATGCAGCGGTGAGCCAGAGCACCAACCCGGCTCGCCAGGTCACGGTTCTGTGACCGGAGCCGGGCCGACTCGGTCCGGAGCTCTTCGAGGTGGCGCTGCTTCCGGTTCCGGCACCGGCGGGCCGACTCGCGGTTGGAGATCTTCCGACGGAGCCGGCGCTGCTCATCGGGGGAGAGCTCGGTCGAGCCGGGGGTCGACGGGTCCGGCTCGGGGTCGAACCAGGAGGCGTCGAAGGGCACGTCGAAGGCGGCGTCGAGCAGCAGCATGAGGAAACCGAGCGAAGGAAGGCGAGAGGGGAGGGAAAAGGGAAGAAAGGCTGAGGCGCGGTGCCGCATTTAACGACGGAGGGGCGCGCGGCGGGGGTTGGCAGGGGCGCCCCCACCTCTCCACGTGGCGAAAGGCAGTTGCACAGCCGCGGTGTGCGCGTGGACTCCTGACTCGGGCCGCACTAGGAGACGCCAGCGGCGGACGTGATCCGAGGAACGAATCCGCATCAAGATACTCTGCTCGTGCTCGTTCGTCAGATCACAGCCGCCGATTGGTTTCGTTTGTGATGAACGGAGGGTGGATCGCGGGGTGAGGCATAAGAAGCGTGTGGGGGACAAGGGAATCTCCATGAGGATTCGGGGTGGCGAGCCGACGAGGTGTTCGCTTAGCGGCGAAGGAATGCCGGTGGCCGGATCGCAAAGTGGTGGGTACACGTGTCGAGGTCGCTATTTTCCTCCACGTGCGCCGCTCGGGTAGAACGGTAGCAGTGAGAATATTCTCCTCAGCGATTCTTTCCTCCTAAGAGCAGTTGACAGTTAGTGTACAATTGTAACCCAAACGCGTACATGCTTTAACAGTTTGCCACGGAAATGAATGGGTTTAGCTTTTAATTCTGCCAATTCGATACCCAAAAATACAATGTTAATGAGAGGGCAACGAGTTGTTTATTCACTACAATTCAAGATATTATATTTTGAAGATGAATGCTAACTTTTTATCATCAACTTCATATGGTATGTCAAACATAATCCTAAAACCTGTAGGAGAACAAGGTGTACTTTTGTTTAGGTCAGTTGATAGAATGGGCCATCCATATCCTAATCCTAAACAACAGTTGATAGGTCGTTTTAAGATGCAAGGGAGTAAAGCTTTCCTGTTGTGGGTTTAGGAAGACATACACAAGAACAAAAGTATGGATTTCATGGACAGTGGGTGGCACGAGATCAACAGGAAGGACACGGAGAAAGCATGAAACACTTGCTTTTCTCTCAAGTCTCTTTCCTTTCCTTTTCCTTTGTTTTTGTTCGTCTTTTCCTCTGGTCTCACGGAACTTGTAATGGTTAGGGCAAAGCTTGCTTTCCGCCAAAGCAGGTGCCATGTTCTCTCTTTTCTCTGCCGATACGTTGGCCAACCGCAACTCAGTCACATAGAGCCAACGTTCGAGGAACAGGCGGAGGAAGACTGCAGTATGTTCTTAAAACGACTAACAAAGAGGGATGTATACCAACTGACATCCATGTGTTTAAAGAGGGAGGATAGTTCTTGATGGGAAGCTCTTGCTTATTACTACTCCATGTATGTTCACAGCTTTCCTGATCTGATCCATGCGAGAGAGAGTGATCGAGGAGGTGTCGATGGGTAGGTAGAGTCCATGTTGTAAAAGCCAACATCCATGTGGATTGTTGAATACTTTGGAGATAAAGCTATCTCTTAGGGTTGGAAGAAAAAGTCGAGAGGTGGGTATGGGCAGCTGAATCACTCTTGTTCATAGCCTTCTTTGATAAAGACTGTATGAAAGGCAGTGTATGAAAGGCAGCAGAAGGATTGGCCGTGAAGAAAACGAAGTCTCGGAGGTCCTTCATTTCTTTTTCCGCACTAAGATTTAATGAACTACATGCTGGTATCTTAAATTCACTACCTTCAGAACAGTGTTGTGAGATCTCGCATCGAAGAACTCAAAGCTTCCAACAATCATGAAAGAAGTCTTACATTATTTAGTAGGAGAATAAAGCATGACATGAATAGATCAGTCTGATAAGTGCATGCACCTAACGTAGGCCCATAACTGCTGATGCATGCTGCAGCCATGCACTGCATTCGTTGCTCGAGGGGCCCTTCCATTAAAATCCGATCAGCAGCAAATGTGCTCGACAACCTTTTCCACACACTAAAAGATTAAAGGCAATGTTTGATGAACCTCCCCCCCTTTCTTTTTTATTGACTGAGACAATAATTCGATCTGCGTAATCTGCTTTCTGATTCCTTATGTGGTTTAGAACGAGCTGCCAAAAGCTGGAGTTCATAAATGGGTGGAAGTCACCTGTAAGGAAGGATCATAGTGACACAAGTGAAAGAGCAATATACATTGCACAATTGGAACACGACTCTTCGACAGATGCCACTGTCAGTGAGGAAGGAAATAAAGTGTGCTAAGAGAAAACTTGGTCACGAAACATTGTTAGAAAATTAGAAGTGGTTCCTACACTCATCAGAAGAATTGCTTGATGCTGAGTTGATGATCACTTAAGCCACGATTGGGGTAGACTGATGATCAAAGAAAACTAAGAAAGAGAAGGCACATTCAAAGAGGGAGTGTTTGATCAAATGTCGTTACAAAATGATGTGAAGTGTATACATCCCACTGGCTAGAGAGGATTGGGTTCTTCACCATCAAAGAATGACAAAGGGTAGACATAAGTAGGAGATAAGCTCAATTCAACTCTGTTTAAGTTCCTAAAGCATGATATAATAATTTTCCCAAGCCCATTAAAGTCTATGAATCATATATTATATATCATAAGCAGTGCATACGATTCATTTAAATCAATTCAAGCTTAGAGAGAAATCATTATAGGTCGCAAGTCATAGAAGTCGTTCTACTTGTCATCAATTAATTCGAATAAAACATCATAATGCATAACATAAATCTCATGATTTTTAGATGATGATTTTTATACAATAAATTCTAAATGAAAAAACATATATTGATAAATACCTTTGGGTATCTCCTGAGAAAATATAAATTACCTGAAAGATAGTTCTATTAAATGGAGAGAGGATCATATTTTGAATGTATAGTGATAGAATATATATTAAAATCTAGTTGATTAATAGAATTTAAATTACTTATTAAATCATCATTAAATATCATCGATCGAAACCGTGAGCAAATGTATGATTTTTGTTTTATTAACACTTTTATCTGATGTTCAATGTGACGTATAAGAATAGATTTGCCCGAATATAAACATCTATGTCTGGCCCATGAACAAGTGGAAGTAACTCTTGTTGATTGCTGCCAAAGATGCAGTTCACTAATCCTGTGTATCATCATGTATACATTTTTCTCTTGGATGAAGAGCACTGATTAGGACTGGACATGCAAATGATGGAGGAATTGATGCTTTAGAGAAGTATATAGATTGACTGACAACTGATCTACCAGGAGATTAAAACTATTGTTATTGAGTTCCTGCCAAAGTCATCATCTTGCTTCATTACATTCGGGCAGCCAAATGCAGTATTGCTCAGAGGAAGGCCATTGGAGTAGTTTCTATCGTGTGGTATTAGGAATGCTACATTGGCTCCATATCCCCTGCTGCACTTGCGGAGCTCACAAGTGGGAAGGGACCTAATCTCGAATACAAGGAAAGAGACGAGGACAGCCCCAGCAATCCTATAGGAAGTTGGTTGCTGCACACAGTACCATCTGTACCGCCATCGACAACAACCTGCGTAGATGACAGCGACACCGACGCCAGTGTCGGAGGTCGTCCCGTTAGCCTCAGAACCCCCTGGGCGGCGCCGCCTGGTCGGGGTTCTTCCACGGCTTTCCCGGCGGCTTCTGCACGTAATCGAAAGCGGCGTAGTTCGGCGGCCCTCTCTCTCTCTCTCTCTCTCTCTCTTGCTTGCCTGGACCCGGCGGTGCAGGGATGGATAACGAACGCTTTCTTCTCTGGTAACTGGTGGAAGGCTCACGTGCTTCATGGATGTTGACCGAGTCACATCAATGTGGCGGCCCGTTGGACTGCCACGTGGAATTAATGGTCAAAGGAGGAGGCTCCCCAAAAACATATTCTGATATTTAATATAAATCGAGTGTATTATTGTACAAATTATAGATGTCAGGTGCGTAATAATAATATTTTTATTTTTTAATATAAATCGAGGGATAAATATAAAAGTATATATATATATATATATATATATATATATATATATATATATATATATATATATATATGAGCTTAAATTAAACAAAGAATAATGACAAAAGGGTTGGTGGTTTGGCAGCTTCGCTTTGGTCACGTGGTATTCTATACAAACCGTGGGACTGATGCTGAATGTGAATGGAGCAATGTATATGGTAGACTATGCCGTGTTTCCATGGAATATGTCGATCGCATTGTTCTCGTGGTATATACTATGTATGTAAACTGTGTGAATGGGTCCAATATGACGACGATGGATGGAAGAAAAATTTGGAATCCTTTATGTCTATCGCTACCAACATCTCCATCTCCATTGCAGTAGCCTCACCAAAGCAGGAAGAAGAGATGTGCTTTTCCTTCCATATCAAAGACTCCGCCGTCGATTCGGTGAGCATACTTGAAGTCAATCTTTGACCTCTCCACTGGTCAAACTGCACATGCAAACAATACGACCAGTTCTTCAACATTAACTCATCTTGAGTTCAATCATCTCTATCTTCTTTATGAGAGAGAGAGAGAGAGAAGAGAGGAGGAAACTACGGATCACAAAGCATTATCCCATCAGCACACATCATCATGAGGTGTTGGGAAAGCTGTGGGATTCGCCTGTGGTATTCCTTCTCCACTGAACAACCCGTTTGCTTTGCCACCATTTTCCATGTCCATCCTTATCCATCACTCGCAGTTTCCGAGAGACCTTTTCATACTAGCCAACGAAAAGAAATAGTCGTACCTTATCTATATAAAGTGGCGTATGGTGGCCTTAATCCTCTCTCTCCTATTCATCCCTCCAATCCAATCTTCTACTTCTCATCTTGTAGAATTGAAGCCTTTGAATCCTCTCTCTCTCTCTCTCTCTCTCTCTCCGATCCAATCCAATCTTCTACTCTTCATCTTTTTGTTTGGAAGCCTTTGGATCAGCATGAACGGGCGAAGCAGCGGGGCGAGCAGGCTCAGCCGGTGCATGAAGGCGCCGATACGCATGCTGTGCCGCGCCTGCGACTTCTACGTGCGCAGAATGAACAGCTGCGCCGGCCGGATGCCACAGGGCGGCGCGCTCGGGTACACGATGACCACGACGCTTCCGAGGAGCTTCAGCGTGCAGTCGGGGAGGACGAGCATGAGCGGCGACGACGACCTGCAGGAGCTCATACGGGCGAATTCGGTGAGCCGCACGGGCGGCGGCCGGTTCGACCTCAAGGGGGCGTCGCCGCAGCAGCCGGCGGTGGTGCCGAGGAGCCAGAGCGTGGCGATCGGGAGGATCGACGAGGACAAGCCCTGCGACTTCGATGACGACGTGAAGCTGGGCTCCGACTTCCTGTTCCCGAGGAGCCGGAGTTATGCTGTTGCGCCAAGGAGGAGGGTTGCAGCCTTTGTTTGATGAGGAGATTGCCGTGGGTCTGTTTTCTGTCGATAAGCATCAAAGATGACATGTTGGTATTGTCTTTTGATTCGGAATTAATTTCTGGATCTTTTTTTCGATTTTTTAGTGGTGATTGATGAGATTGTTCATATGATTGATTAATTTGGTTACTATTGAGCTGATGACTTGCGATCTCTCACTGAAGACTTTGGAATGGTTGATGTATCCCTGTTTGGCTTGGCTTCCCATTTCTATGGTTTCTTCTCTTCCTTCTCATCTCCAACTGCATGAGAGAAATGACAGTATAGAATGTAGCTTTCCATGTTAACTATCTCGAAGACCAAATGATGGGTGTCGGGAAGAAGCCCAAGTACCAAACATTAAAAAGGATAAATCAGAAAGCTTATATAAAATTATATGATTCCATAAATCTTCACTATATATATATATATATAATTATATATATATATATATATATATATATATTGCTAGGACAAATAAATTTTTAATATTTAAAATATTTTTAATATAATTAGAACTCTGAAAAGTATTCATCCATCCTAACAATGGAGAATCCACAAGCAGAATCAGATGCATCTGCCACTTTGACTTGGCTTCCACACCAAAAGAAGTCTACAACTTCAATTCAAACTCCACATGCTTGATTTGGTGGTCATTGGGAAAGTAGTGAAAATTTGGCTTCAATTAACAATTTATTTTATCTTGGCAATTCTTGGCAATCCAATTTATGCTCTACATTTATATTGCAGTCAAAGCCTCCCTATTTTAAAATGTTATTTTATCTTCAATTATAATAAAAGAGACATGATTATTCTAGTGAAATTATTCAATGTTATCCTCATGCAAGATTAAGACAAGTGTTGATGATGGAAAATGAGACATCAAACTTAAGATAGTAGACTTGAAATCAACACAGTCCAACAATGCCCAAATATGTTTTTAATGTCTTTTAATCATATTACTAATGTTTACAACCTATGGGTTTCATTTACCGGTGTCAACAACCTTAAGCCGTGGTCTCAGGACCGACGCGGCTTGGTTCGGGTCCGAATGATGGGGAATCTTGCTCAATGTCTCTCGGGGTTGCTGATGTGGGCGACCGTGCGGATCGGATCATGTCGAGGCTCGTCGGGACGTCCCGTATGGAAGGGTCCCTCTCCTCGGCATTGGTGGGGAAGTAGCTCCGTCTTCGTACCTGCACATAGGTCGGGTCGAAGCTTGGTCCGACCCCTCCGACGATCAAGTCAGATGAAGTGAAGAGGTCTTTTTTGTGTGTGTTTCCTCTCTAGCCTTGCTCCTCTCGGGAGCGGGATTTTTATAGGGTGACTTGCTGTGTTTGTTGTGCCTGTTTTGCATGGAGCAGGATCGTACTCCCGGCCACGTCTGACAACGGTATTGGCGTGGTGTGAAGGATTGGGCTTGAGCATGACGTTAATGCGTCTCGACCGGCGTTCTGGTCCGTTTGACCAGGTGCTGTCGGGTCAATCGAGGCGTGAGACGTCATCTGGGATAACTGACGTCAGCCTGAGTCTTGTCATCATTATTATCCTCATCACCTATATACCACCATATTTATTGAGCTCAACAAATTGTACTCCTTAGTCAACAATGATATGAGAAGCTTATTAAAGTAATTATGATCAGTAGTTTGGATTATTAAGTTAATGCATCGATTATCTCCATATATTTTTGTGAAAAGAGAAGATGGAAGGGGTAATTTAGTCTTTTGATGAGGGGTGTCTATGAATACAAACGAATACGAAGATTTGGCGAAGGGCGCGCGCGAGAATCGGAGTCGCCGCAAGAAGATCCGAAAGCGGCGCGGCGCCGAGTAATGGCGAGGAGCACATCTGGATTCGCCGTCGTTCGCTGGCACGCCGATTCCTTCGGCTACAAATTTCCCGACGGGAGGGAGGCAGCGGCGTTTTCCATCGTTGCAGATGCATGCGCCTCCACTCCAACCCCGCCGCCTCGTTCCAATCTTCCCTTGACCGATCGAGAGGTGGCTTTTCGTTTTCTTCTGTCTCTCTTCTCCGATTCGATGCCTTTGCCCTTTGTTTCCCCGATATTGGGATTTAGATTGTTGCTTGTGCTTTCGGATCAAGAACCAAAAGCAATTCGCTGATGTATGGCTATTTTCATTTCGGTTATTTTGTCTTCCATTTCTTGCGTTTCAATCTTGATGATAAAAAAAATGGGGTTTTTGAGGTTTCATTTGCTTAAAGTTCCAATTTTGTTGTTTACTTTGGTGTTTGGTCTTTTCTTGTGGTGATGCTGAGTTCCTTTTTTCTGTCATTCTCGTTGGAGCTTGAAGCATCACCCATGGCCGGTGGATTTAGGCAGTCGGAGTCGGCTAATAGAGACCCTCAAAATTCTTCTTTTGGTGAGAGCAGCGGCAACAGTGAGCCCTGCAACTTCGAGTGCAACATCTGCTTCGAGTTGGCGCGAGATCCGGTCGTCACGCGCTGCGGTCACCTCTTCTGCTGGCCCTGCCTTTACAGATGGCTTCATGGCCATTCTCACTCTTCCGAATGCCCTGTCTGCAAGGCCATTGTCGAAGAAAAGATGTTAATCCCCCTCTACGGCAGAGGAGACAACTCCATAGACCCAAGGTCTAAGTCGGTGCCGGATATGAACATTCCTCAACGTCCGGCAGGGCAGCGGCCAGCCTCTGCCCCACAGCCCGATCCCAACCAGTTCCAGTACACAAACCCATGGTTTATGGGTGGTGCCCCCATGGCGAGCACCAGATTCGGGAGCTTGACGTTCTCTGCTGCTATCGCTGGACTGTTCCCTCTGCTCAGCTTTCATGTTCATGGATTTCCAGATTCGACTGCTTATGGTCCAGTTGCTGCTACTCCATATTACAATGGGTTCCATGGTGGGCATGTTCATGGGTTCCCGAGACAGGCGCACCATGGACAGCAGGCTGATGTCTATCTGAAGGCATTGCTGTTTCTAGTTGGTGCTTTGGTAATCGTTAGTCTTGTTTGGTTTTAGGCCATCCTGTTGTTTGGTGGTCTGCTGCCATTATTCACAATAGAAGCATTTGCCACATTTGAATTTTTTGGTCCTCAGTTGTAGATGTACCATGCTAATTGATTGTTTCTAATATCAAGAAATTGTCCATATGTTGTCTGCACATAATATTTTTGGCATGCCAAATGCCACTTCAGTTGTTTGAAATATATATACATAGGTATATTGTCAGAACAGAATTGTGTATGCTGATGCACATATTTTTTGGTAAATACATACATGCATTTATGCAGTTTGCTAGTATCACTGTTTTTTTCTGTTCTAAAAGTAAGCTGTTGCAGAGTATGTTATTCTCATGCAATCTAGTATCTGCTAGACTACATTTTTATGATTGCTTGCTTGTGGAATTAATGGTTGCATGGTTGGTAATTGAAAATGAGATGGAATTGGATACTTGATCTATGGAACTGAAACCAAATCATATATGCTGGATATGTGTGCAAGTGGGTAGAAAAAGATACTAAAGCCTGTGATGGTTGGATCTGTTAAATCCTGAATCTGGTGAGCAAAGTAGATCTAGAGGTTTTCTTTCTTGTTTGCAAGTAATCCAGGCATATAGACTATCTGCTGCTAACCTCTTGCCTTTGCCATGAAGGTCTGTAACAAGTGTCTGAAATCTGTACCTGTCAATCATTTATTTGTTAGTTCTCAGATTATAGATTTTGTTTAGGTCATAGAAACATGATTTGAGTATGACCTTTGATGCCAGTTCTTGAAGGAGGCATGGATCACGATGGTCCAAATGCATAGCATGGAATTGTTCTGTGAGTTCAGGATGCAAAATTCGTATCAAGATGTATGAGTTTCAATTTGCAAGCGGAACTGCAAGATATGGCACTCCAATTTAAAGCTTTGAATTTTCTTGTCTTTTTTTCCTAAACATTCCTAATATGACATGAAAAAGGAAAGGTAGGTTATTCCAAGTTTACAAATAAATCAGTGTCAAATCATTTGAAGAATCAGCATGATCCATACACCAACTCTCTCTTCCTAAGCTGATATCCATGTTGAGCAGCTTGGCATGCAGTCCGAGCTCAGTATGCGGACCTGTCGCAGATATTGTTCTCAATCTTTGCTTCTCTTCACCATCCATGACTGGCTCCTGATCCAGGCCTTGCATTTCTACTGCCTGTTTGCAGAAGATGAAATATTATGTTTGGAACAACCTTAGAGAGAGAGAGAGAGAGAGAGAGAGCGAGAGAGAGAGAACTAACTACATGAATCCAGAAGACCTATTTTTCCTCTAAAACTTCTAATTATATATTTGCTTATCCTAATTTTAATTTCTGATCTTTCTTGAAGGACCACAAATGGTACATTTCAGGGCAGATCATGATAGCAAACAGTAGGTTGCTTGTGGCCAGTGCAAGGTAGAGAGAGAGAGAGAGAACTACATGAATTCAGAAAACCTATGTTGCCTCTAAAACTTCTAATTATATATTTGCTTATCCTAATTTTAGTTTCTGATATTTCTTGAAGGACCACAGATGGTACATTTCAGGGCTGATCATGATAGCAAACAGTATGTTGCTTGTGGCCACTGCAAGCAGGTAAGACTGCAATTGAGGTAAGTTTTTTCCCTGAAGTGAGATACATGCAGGTGTAGTTATGTAGTTTCCAAGTATCAAATGAGACTATTACTTCTAGGAATGCTATGCAGTTCTACCTTGACATACATAATGGACTAATTAGTGGACAGAAATGTATTTACCTCTAGAAATCTATCAGATTCATCATAAACATGTAGTCAACAGGAGACTGTATCAATTACCTGACTTTCTTGACTTTGGAAGTTGTCACAGTAGAGAAAGGGGTTTGATACAACACTTTGTTGGAATGATGGTTTCCAAGCACTCCCTTCACTTGATGTATGAAGCTCTCTGTTTACACAATGGAATTCAAACTATAATTTTGAATGCCAGAGATAAATACTAAGAGATGGACATTCATGAAACTGAAGCAATCTGCTTTTAACCTATAAAAAAGAACCATTGCACAGGTCTATGAGTAAATATAGCCTGCTTGTTTTGCACTGTTTAAGCTGCAAAATCCTTGGTTTATACTTTGAAATTACTTGCAATGCAATATCTTCTTTCCATGGTTTTGCATGGCTTAGAGACAACAGATCAGTCAAGTGATGCTCAAATTGTAAATTGATACCATGGCAACAAACCACTTAGATTAGCTTAACCACTGCATAAATGATTACCTATACATGCAGTATCTGAGAGAAGGAAATTGTTGTACATCATGAAGAATTTAAAAGAAAATTCTAAGCAAAGAAATTAATAAAAAGTCATCAATTAGTTGATCTAAAAATTTTAAAAATTATGCTGTAAATTAAAAAAAATTGTTTGATCTTCTTAAAATCTCTTTTTTGTATTAAGTACACTCTTGTATTACTTGCACTCATTTATTACTTAGGTATCATAGAAATCATATTTTAAAATTCTAAAAGGCATATTTATTTCTTAAGAGATTAGGTCTGGAAATCATCGTCGATTGTACCAAAGCTCCTAAACCTGTATAAATAGTGGAGCTCGTTAATGGATCAAACTTCAAATTTGAATGAAAAAAAAAAAAATCTTCTCTCTTCTAGTCTTTTTCTCTTCTTTCTAATCTTTAATCTCATTCCTCTCTCTCTCCTCCCTAATCTCTAATCTCACTCCTCTATTACTCTCTCTCTCTCTCTCTCTCTCTCTCTCTCTCTATAGCTTGTTCTACATCACCATCTCTCTAATATTGAGTAATCAAAAGCTTATATATTGCCTCTCCAATATTATCTGGCTACTAAGTGCAACACATTATTAGTTGTATTCTTTTATTGTTTAATTAGTTTAACCATTGATAAGTATGTGATTGAAATCATTGCACTGCTTCAGAGTAACCATGAAAGTCTAATCGTATTCATAGTATATGCTACAGAATGCTCTAAGATGTTCTTCAGTAGATTAGTAGAGCAAACAATTAGTCATATAGAATGTTTTGATCCGTTTATTTCTTTGACCTTGTTTACTAATCAAGCCTTACAATAGAAAATAGAGTATAGTCGTCAACTTCTCAGATCTGTTCTTGATCCTTTCAAGGTTACTCCTCCTTCATTAGAACCCTATTTAGTCATGTCAGACTCCTCCTTATGGATCCTTGAAGCACGACATGTACTGTATAATAACATATATTATTTGGCCATGACCGGAACCTATGATTTCGTGCCCTGACATGGCGATGCATGCATGCATGATTGCAGGAGAGTACTGCATCGATCAGCCATGGCACAGATTTCTGAGAATTTAAATAGAGTGGTGCAGGGATGATGGATGGAGTACTCACAGACCTTGGGGATTTGGTAGGGTTCTTGGTGGGGTTGTTGATGAGGTGAGGGAAGTATAGGAGGGGATGATGAACTCGTTTCCAGCTTTATCACCTGCCAGTACTTCCTCCGCTTCCCCGCTGCCTGTCCTCTTGCTCATGCCCATATCAGCCTGAGTTTGGCCTGCAGACAATGCCATTCACCACCATGATGCTAAAGGTCGTGCTTTATGGAACATCAGCGCAGTGATTCAAAGACACAGAGAGAGAGAGAGAGAGAGAGAGAGAGAGAGAGAGAGAGAGAGAGAGAGAGAGCCATTCCCCCAGCCATCAGCTAGTTCCTGACACCAATGAGATGACTGGGTGATGATGGCAGCTGCCCCTCCCCGAAGAACCAAAACCAAAGAGGGTATAGTGTCTTGCATGACCGAGAGAACTCCAAATACCTGCCACTCTGTTGGTGCTCCTCACTGTTCTATACGTCTGCCAACAAACAATAAGAAAATAATTGATATAAGAATGGATCAGAAAGAGAAAGGTCTAACATGTCACGATTACTTCCACAGATGCTGTTTTGTCCGCAGTGTTTGATTGTTTGGAAGCCCCCACTCTGTCTACACCCAAAACAAAACCCTAACCCTAACAATGATATGGTCACTTTTTGGTTGCAGAAAAAGGAAGGGGGGCTTCTTCTTTATCCACTTCTCTTACCTGCAGATGGCTCTTCACATGAACTAGTGTTAGATCTTTCACGTTCATCAGTTCCAAGATTGATTTTGGCGTTGCCCCTGCAGACATACAGATCCAAGAGAAATCTCTGTTCGCTGACGGTCATAACAGGAATACGCAGCCAAGAAGATTCTGAGGGACAGGTTGCTTACTCTCATGGCCACCGAGGAGCTCCACCGCATGAACGAAATGGGCGTGGAGACTGGTAGTCCACCTCATTCGTGGAGCTCTACTGCTCCTCTTCCCCAAACTCCGCTTGACTCCACTGCGAGGGTGTTGGTTTCTTCTGTGGTCGTCTGGACCAGATGCCTGGACCTTGAGTTCCAGCCTCAGCGACGGCTCGCCATACTTGGGTTCGTTCACCTCACTCCTCCTCCTACTGGAAATCGGCTCTTCCATGCTTGGATCTCCAAAGAGATCCCAGTTTGGCGAGGATCCATGGATGACGGTGGTCGATGATGCGCTGATCTGGAGAGACAGGTCAGTGCATTTGTCTTCCATTTTGCTTGACCATCAACAATTCTAAGTGATAAATGACAAATGAATGAGATCTATCATGAACAATTCCTGACAAATGAAGGCCAACAAAGAAAAGCAAGAGAGAGGGAGCCTAAGCTACAAGTGATGAGGTCATGAGTGGCTATATAATATATCCATGGGTGCTTTGGTGTAGACAGTGTAAACTACAAGGAGGCTAGAACGTGAAAGAAGCAATCAAGAGATGAGAAGATTGGTACAGTGACTTTGGATTAGGGTATGGCATGAGTACGGGCACCAGCCTGCCGAAAGACAATAAATGGAAGATAATAGTGGCTGGGAAGGCATTGCAGAGAGAGAGATCGAATAATTCTATCAATCAATTAGGAAGGTGATAACGAACCATTTGGTTGGTCGGTCATTAGTGCAATCGCTCGTGAGGAATTGTCTACTTTGATTGATGGGCGTATTCATACGGTTTTATCTTTTCGAAGCTTGTGAGCTCCAAAAAGAGCGTCTTTTTTGAGCTCATAAGTTCCGAAAGGACAAAACCATATGGATACGCCCATCGTCCAAAGCGGACAATTCCTCGTAAGCCTACGGGCCGCACTAATGGTCGACTGACCAAATGGTTCCTTATCAGATTGGCGCTAGAGGAAGGGCCTGAGGCTTGCACCTTGTACCTTGACTATGAGCTCTTGACTTCTCTATAGGAGGGAGCACTGATAAGGTCATTTAGTCTCACATTAATTGAGGAGTATGAGAACCAATGACTCATAAGTCCATCAGGTCTCATTTACCCTCAAAGGCGTATTTTGGAGCTCACATATTTCGAAAAGAACAAAAACAGTACGAATATGTCCAAAGCAAATAATTCCTCGGGAGCTTATAGGTCGACCGACCAAAATGACTAGCAAACTTGATGGGTCCAAAGTTTGGTGGCGGGGAATCAATTGTCAATGGAATTCAGAAACATGGTCAGCGGCTCATGCGCTGACCTATTATTAATGTTGTATCTTTACTAGTAATGCATTAGGATGTGTCTATATATCTCCTTTGTTTCAATCATGTATCAGACAAATATGCTAACTTGACTGGTCAAACATGTATAAGAAACATTGATGTGTATGCGTTATAGTCTTCGTCCGTATTGTCTTTATGATGGTCGAGGATTCGGAAGAGGCCTCTTGTGCTGCATGTCTTGGATTATGTTTTCTCCCTTTATGATTGATTGATTTATTATGAGTCCTCTTTCATAAATCAAATTTGATTAGTATTGTTATTATAAGAATGTATTTACATATTTTTTTTTGGAAGTCGATCTAAAAAGTATTCAACCACATTGCGACTAATATCTAGATTTTCTTTTTTCTAAATTCCAGCGTAAATTATTTTGAGTTCGAATTGGACTTCAATTTATATATATATATATATATATATATATATATATATATATATATATTATTTTGAGTTCCAATTGGACTTCAATATATATATATATATATATATATATATATATATATATATATATATATATATATCAGTCCGGTCTTTTATAGCGAAACCCGTGAGCGATATCCGATTCTGCGGGCGCGAGAGACCACAAATCGACGAGTGATCCTTGGAAGGGTTGTAATCCCTGCTACCGTGGGAGGTAACCTCTTCCGACTCGTCTCGATTCGGATCGCATACGATTCTTCGTTTCGTTGTTCTTCCTGTTCTTCTTCTATCCGGATCAAGAACTCTCCCCATTTTTTTCCCTCGTTCTTACTCGTTAACTCCCGATCTAACCAAGAATAATAAAGGTGTAAGTATCAGATTCCGCTTGTGTGGTCTCCTATATTAAATTTCGAAAGAAAGTGGTCTCTAAGGATCATTTTGTGATTAGAGGAATGTCTTTGATAGCTCAAACTGAAAGAAAGACTAATTCTTGTCAGTGAAATGACGATCTGACTTTTGCCCCCACTAATGTAACGATGGCTGAGAGTATGGCATATTGGCATGTCTTGCATCTTTCCTTCATTGTTTTTGTATAGCTATTCATCTCTTGATGATTCTACAACTCTGCATTAGCGTATAATTTAGCATTATATTGCCACTCTGATGAGACGATGAGGTAACTGCATGTAACATTTCAGACGGTAATGGCTTCGGCAGCTCTTATTTGTGACAGTGAACCATGGAAGGACTTGAAGGTGGGAATTTTGTTTTTCTTTTGGTGTTATTTCGACAGTTATTTATTTTTTAATTGATGATACCAGTTTATGTCCTGTCATTTTGCAGGAACATGTTAATGCGATAGAGAAGAAACACTTAAGAGATCTGATGAATGATGTTGAGCGGTGCCAGTTAATGATGGTGTATGATATTAGCTTTGGCATCTACCGTTGCCAATATGTATCTACATAGATTCTTTTTGCATATGCCATGCGCACAAGGACAAGATGTCTTTTACATGATATATTCTTCTAATTTATTTATAATTTCCTTGATATAGCTTTTAACCTCTTAACAGAGAGATCGATGGGATACTTTTGGACTATTCACGGCACGTGTCCGCCTTGACACCATTGGAAAACTTCTCAAACTAGCAGAGGTGGTAAATGCTGCAGTCTTATTCATAGTGTTAAGATACTTTTCTTATGTCTCTTCCATCGAATTATTGCAGGCAGCACAGCTTAGGCAAAAAATTGACATGATGTACAATGGAGATCATGTAAGCAGAACTTTTGGACAGAATCTAATGACTGGATGTTTTGTTCAACTTTATTCCGTCTAACATCCTCGACTTCTAAATATCGTGACCTCTGTAGTATTTTGATGCTTCGTTATGTTGTTGTGGGCGACTCCCTCCTGGTTTTATTATGCTAAGTTGATTCTAGAAGCAAAGCAGAGGTCATTTATATAATTGTTGAATCAGTTTCAGCAGATTTTCCAGATAGGTCTGCCGTGAATGTTAGGCAGGGAATGAGCTTATGTTCAGTTAGTTGTGGTTTCTAAGACCAGTTTTTCTTGTAACAATAATAAAGTAGGCTGCTCTTGTGCTATGGGCTTGATAAACATTATGGATAATTGACCGATGAACTCTGTGATGCTGATTTTTCTCTATTTAACAGATAAACAGTACTGAGAATAGGTCGGTTCTGCATATTGCTTTGCGAGCTCCAAGAGATAAAGTTATTTGTAGTGATGGAAAAAATGTGGTACCAGATGTTTGGTATGTTTTGGACAAGATTAAAGAATTCTCTGAAAGGGTGAGAAGTGGATCCTGGGTAAGTAGCATGCCCTATTTGTTTTTTTTCCATTTTTAATTTCCAATTCTTGGTTTTAATAGGTAAATGTCTCAGGTTGGAGCAACAGGAAAGGCATTAAAAGATGTTGTGGCCATTGGTATTGGTGGCAGCTTTCTAGGCCCATTATTTGTGCATAACGCTCTTCAGACAGGTAAATTAGTGTTGCCTATGAGGTTCATTGTCAAACCTTTTGCTGAAGGTGATAATCCATCCATTTCCAAATTGAATGGACATAGTTTTCTTACAAGACATTCTACCTTGAAATATTTCAGATCCAGAGGCTGCAGATTGTGCCAGAGGACGGCAGCTGAGATTGTAAGTACCTCTTATTTGTGATCGGTTCATAAAAAAATATATGCATGTATGAATGTATCTCTGGTGAAGGTATACGATCTTTATTTTGTTTCTCAAATGTCTTTGCTGTTTTCAGCACATAAGATACCTAATATAATGCCACAAACTCAAATATAGAACTCAGAAACATTAAGTAAAATATAGTTACTTTTTGGGCCATTTAGACTTGTCATTTTACACTGAACCTGAAGTACCTATGCCTATACCACATACTATGGGTGCTGGCATGACAGTCTGGGAATGCATAGATAAGTAGAAAATTTTAGAGATAAGATGGATCTGCCACTTGAATATGTGCCTGCATCAGATTGTTGCAATCAAGTCATGTATTCAGATGACTGCTTTTTCTTGGAGGATAAAAACCTGATTATTTTTTATGGTACATCTAATTATGTATTCTGGATTTATTTCTATAAGTTATCTAGCATTTCCTTCTCTATTTAAAATAGTACACCTACATTTCTTTGTTCATTAACAAAAATATCTTGCTTTTATCCTTATAAGCAATCTCTTAGATTAATCCTTTTTTTAAGCTACTTTTTGAAGTCCTGTCTTGGATCAACCATCTCCAAGTTTACTGAAAGAATGCATTACTTTTTCTGGTTAAGTGGTTTAGTTGTTTCTATAGCTCTAAATGCTTCTAAACTACATCGAGAATAGTCACACATGAATGACTTTTCCTTGCTGTGAACTAAATGATAAGGGTCTGCATTTAGACTGTTCGGTTAGTCAAGTCTCAAACTATAATGATTATGAACCAAAAATGAATTAACCCACTGAGTGCCAACACCAAACAGAAGTTCTTTATCTGAAAAACAATTAAATCAAACTGTACATTTTGGTTCCATCAGTTTATGTTCTTTTTACTCCTGAGATACAGATGTAGAGAAAAAACAAAGTAAAAGCAATAATTTATTACTAGTTCACTGTGCTTAGGACATCTTATTTATAGAATTGGTGCTTATGAACAATGTTACGCTTGTAATTTTGTAGATGTATAATACACATAACAAAGTACTTTATCATTTCACCATACGACAATCTATTTAGTTTATATGGTTTATATTTTGAGACCAACCAGAATACTGAAAGTTGAAATTCATTCATTTTCCTGTAACTGAACCAATCAGAAATTGTTGGGTTTGACTTGGGAATTTTTGTTTTAATTGAACAATGTATACTGTACCAGTAGATTTTCTTCTTGATTAAGATTACCTCTCTTTTCTAAGGTGCTTCTATTTTCTGACAATGGTGTTATGTTTATTTGTTGTGAGCATTTGGTACCATGTTACTAGACATAGATAGGTTGGACCATTCCGAATTTGTTGACAATACATTTTAAGGAAGATTGAGGAATTTCTGCCTTGTGTTGATTATCAGTTTCCTGGTGGACCTTTGTTAGCTTCAGTTCGATTTTCAGATCCTTTTGGAAGGTGACTACCCTTCTCATTTCCTATTCCTATTCATTGAAGACACTTGAGTGAACTATTAAATATTTGTGGTTTTAATGAGATATAAATTATATGTATATCCTTCAAGAATTTTTTGCTTTCTAAAAGACCCTTGTAGATTTGTAATATAGTAGGGGATATGATAAATTGAAGCAGTTTTTGGCCACAACTGAAAAAATAAAGTTTGGAAAACCATTAGCATGAGGATTAGATGGTCATGGAATCCAGGTTACATTTTCCCCAGCTCTCTAATACAAGGTTGGATAGACTTATGAATGTCTTCTCACTCTCCTTATGCCCTTTATTAGTTTTTTCACCGTATAACTCCACCAAGATATGAATCTTATGAGCAATAGTATGGAGTTGTCAAACGATAATAGATGAAATTGGCTGAATCCAATGAAAACAGACTCTTGACTCAAGAAAAAAATGTTAGGTTGATCCCCATTGTGCGTCATGCTCTCTTCTGGTCATCAGAACACTTTGTTGTACTAATATATTAAGAAAATCAACATTTTTGCATCAGTGACATCTGTGAACTTTGAACAGATAAGGATGTTATTCTGCATCTTATTGTAAACAAGATATTTTTTGATATCTTGGTTGTCAGCATTTTCTTGGAGAATTCTTTATGTTATGCTGGATTCAGAAGTGTAACGATGTTAATTTTACATGAACATGAGTTATCACAAACCTATATCTAATAAACTTTTTTACCTGCAGTCTTGCAAATGTTGATCCAGTTGATGTGGCTCGAAACATCAGTGGATTAAATCCTGAAACTACCTTAGGTAATTGCAACATTTTTATTTTACAGAGGACACTTGACATCACTTTCATCGTTTATGCATCCTCTTTACTTCTGTTTATGGTCACTGGTGAATGCAGTTGTGGTGGTTTCAAAAACTTTTACAACAGCCGAAACCATGCTGAATGCCAGAACAATGAGAGAGTGGATCTCATCTGCTCTTGGGTTAGCACATCTTAGAAATGTCATCTTTTAGAAAGTCTGTTCCTTGGTTTTGTTTGTTGTACTTGAGCATCATTTTTGTCACTTGTTCTAGGACTCAAGCGGTTGCAAAGCATATGGTGGCAGTCAGTACAAATCTAATGGTAAATTTATATTTTAGTCTGACTATCTATTTTAATTATTTTTAGACTTATGAAAAATTTCTCATTTATTGGAGCAGATATTTCTGCCATCTCATTCCATTATTTTCCTTTTTCATCTGATCTTAACAACTAGGTGCTTTTTTTTCTTCTTAAATTATAGTTTTCTTTCATATAGAATAGTTCTAAGTGGGAACAAAAAATTTGGTAGGTCAGAGTCAGAACAGGGTTAAAAATTTCTGTGCTAATGCTGGTGGGACCAGTACGAGTCCGATACATATTGGAACACTGATGCACCGTATGGAAGCATACTGACTGGCACCGAAAGGGGGGGCGAGGGCTGATTGCAGCACAAGGAAAATCTTCATTTCAATGACAGAGAGAGAGAGAGAGAATTGTTCAAAACCATAAATCCTAAACTTAAAAAGTTATTTCAAATTATCGGGCTCGAATTAGGCGGTACACTTGGTTTATGCAGGTTCCCAGAATAAGTGGACTAGACTAGGTGAAAAGTCCTGGTCTGTGTGGTATTCAACCTCAGATCTGTAAATGCCAGTGGTACGTTACAGGTCCAGGTGGTATCCATATTTCGAACCACAGCTCACACAAGAATGAATAAGGGTAGTTTGAAGCTAGAAGAAGAAAATTGCAGTAATTCAGAGACCAAACCAGTAAGAGTTTTTGAAGCACAAAATCAGATGCAAAACGATCCTTCGGATTGTTAAGGATCGTTCTTATAAAATTCAAATAGATCAAGCATTATTGATCATAGCAAGTCAGAGTTCCACGAAAATATGGATTATTATTTGTTTCGAATAAGTAGTGGGGATATTAAAATTGTAGAATTAACGCATAATAAGGGGATCACAATATTGAACTGGCATTTAGGGCTGAAAATTAGTTCAAGAGAAGATATATAATCTAGTTAAGTTTGGTGCAATGAATTGATTAGATGGTGTTTGGATATGTTAAAAGCTTAGTCAGTTCTAGCTAGTTCATCACGTGTTAGTTGCATGCCCCATGCCCGTGTTTGACCAGAGAAGATGAAAGGAGGAAAAGGAAGAGGAAAACAAGGCAAGGGAAAGAAGAAGAGTAATACCTATGTCTCTCATGCCCCACCCTCACTTCTTGTCACTTTCCATTGCTCATGGTTCACTATTATTTGTAGTTATCATGCTATTGATGTTGCTGTTGTTTCTGATCATTTCATGATCAGCAGTGTTGTAGCTTCCCAGTTGTGGAGATGAGAGCACAAGAAAAGAGTAATGGGGTTGACTAATCTCATGATATTGTAATCTTGTGAGTCACGGGTTAAGATTCAGATCCATTTAAATATTGTTTTTTAATTAAAATTAGTTAATATTATTTGAAAATATAAATTAAATATCAAAAAACTTTTAAATACTTAATGAAAAGAAGAATAATTTCTAAACTAGATTTAGATTTGTTATGATATTTTATTTATAAAGTAGTTTTAAAATTTAAACTACTCCTAAGTTATGCATAATATTCAAAACAAAGTATATGATTGTTACACATTGTATCTAACTATCTATAGCATTGATTCATATCTCGGTTATGGATATTTTTATCTCATATATTCATATCATAAATTAAAGCATCTAAGATATCAGACACTACGATGCACATTGCACAGGATCCTCCAAGCCTGATTTAGAGCAATGATGCCATATAGTATATTTTCACTATGTACTAGCTTATTTCCATCATAATTATGTCACCTTGAATTTTATCCCTCTATCGTTTTATCTTGTTACCTTCTTTTTGGGGTGTTTTTTACTTTCTTATATGGATGACTACCTGTGATTAGGGAGATTGTTTCTTGAACCTGAAGATATTTATTTGAAATGTACCGAGGTTTATCATAAAGGAGAGAAATACCAGTAAGCATGAACTAGAACATACCAAGCCATGAGGGCCATGCCAACACTTGGCTAGGTCGACCATTTGCCTATACCATCCAGGACAGTGGCGTACGCCATGGCATGACACTGTAATGTGCCAAAAGTTAACAGTATATAATATATCCCCATGCCATGAAATGAAAATTCTTTATTATCTTTGCTGGTTGTTACATTGTACTCTTTCAGAAAACAATTGCAGTGCATGAAGGGATGTTATTTAACTTTACCATATTATCATTATCATTCTTTTTATCATCATAACTTTTTTTCCACCAATTTGTTGTATTCATGCAGCTTGTCGAGAAATTTGGTATTGACCCTGCTAACACTTTTGCATTTTGGGACTGGGTTGGTGGTCGCTATAGTGGTAATTATCCTCTCAAATTGTAGGACTGATGATTGAAAATTTTGGCACACTCGATGTTCTGTTGACAGAGGGGATCCTAATGCAGTTTGCAGTGCTGTTGGTGTGCTTCCGTTGTCTCTCCAGTATGGTTTTCCAATTGTTGAGAAGTATGTTAACTCATGCTTTTTTCTGTTTAATGCAACATGTTCAAATAGAAACTTGTGTCTGCACCAAGAACACATTTTTTTTGTAATGTATTGACCTTAAATCAGGGTTCATGTTAAGGTTATTCCCTATTGCAAACTTGTGAAAGTTCTCACTCCTTTTTCTCTCTGCTGAAGGTTTTTAAATGGAGCTTCTAACATAGATAATCATTTCTACTCAGCTTCATTCGAAAGGAACCTGCCTGTACGTTGTTATGAGGAATATGTATTTGCTATCTCAATACAAAAAATATGTTATTCTAACAGATGCTTTTGTTGCTCGAGTCAGGTACTTCTAGGTTTATTGAGTGTGTGGAATGTTACATTTCTTGGATATCCTGCAAGAGTAAGTAATATATGTTTTGACATTTACAATTTAAGCTTCCAAGCACTATTATCTGTTGGATATTGCAGCAAGGTTCCTCTAACAAAATATTCCCATCACTCTTCAGGCCATATTGCCTTACTCTCAGGCACTTGAGAAGTTTGCCCCACATATTCAACAGGTATTTTAAGTTATTTCTATAGGTTTAGAACAAGCACCACTAATTTTGCTGATCTTTGGAGCTGTTATTTCCTACAGGTTAGCATGGAGAGTAATGGAAAAGGTGTATCGATTGATGGTATTCCACTTCCCTTTGAAACTGGTGAAATAGATTTTGGAGAACCTGGAACTAATGGTCAGCACAGCTTCTATCAGTTAATTCATCAGGTAAGGTTCTCAATGGATATTAGTGACAGAGTGTCCAGATTATTTATTATAAAAATACAATTAGATTTACATTGACCATTGGAGAAGTTTTATATGATCAAAAACAGCAATCTTGAACCCCCCAAGTTCCTTAAGTGGGTGTTTACCATATCCATAAGACATTTTTATTATCATCACTCTCTTTTGACACATGTGATTTGTGATTTTCATTACATGGTTCTGAGTGCTAGCGGTCTTATGTTGGAACTGTTCTCTTGAATTTTTATGTATACGCTATCAGTTTTTATGGAAACTTGGCATCATAAATTCGATAGGACCTGTTTGCCTTGAGTCAAAGTTTTTGGTATATGACGAGTGAAAAATGTAAAGAGTTGAGAGCAAAATGGAGCAAAGCTGCAGACAAACATGTCTTTTTTCTAGAATTTCTTTTCTAAAACTGGAAATAGTATGAGTCTGCTTAAAGAAACTCTTCTGGTGGGCCCTTTTCAAGGAATAGACAGGTGTGTTTTTACCACTTAGAGTTGTTGCCTTATCTGGCCGATGGACTTGATCTTGGATTCTTACTTTTTCTAGTTGACTCTGCTTCATGTCTCCATCCTAAATCTTCATTCTCCCCAAAACCTAGTTTCTTGACTACTGTTTGTTTGCTTACTCCAGATCATTGGTTTGCAGTCATTTTACTTGTAAATATGCATATCAAGACAAGAAAATTGTGAAAATTCATGAGATGAGAGCCTGGCAGGAGAGACTTGTCAAGACTTGAACAGACACTGGATCTAAATAAATTTGAGATCAGCATAAAAGACAAAAAAATAAATAAGATTTAAGTAATTGCTTAACT